AGCTAATTCGCGAAGATAATTACGACGCTAATAGTTCTATTATATAGCGATGTTCGTCCTATCGATCTCCTTAGTTGTCTATAAGGCATCTACCGGGATACGATATTAGAAACAACTACGCGGCTCGTTAGCCTATAGGTCGGCGAGGCCGTTGTTTATTAGAGGTAATTAGCCGCGACCGATGTTCTAGAACGGCGACGTCGACAGATCGGAAGGCCTAGTTAACGGTTCCTTAGAGGAAGTCTTAGGCAGAGGCCCTCTTAGCTTCTAAGGATTCTCGTCTGTCGGGTATTATAGCTTAAGTAGCCTTTATAAGAAAACCGATTTAAGCGAGCTATTAGGCGAACCGGGACGCTATTCCGGCGGCACGGTTGTTTCTACTATAGTAATAGGCGAAACCGTAGGCCGCGGTAGGACTTAAGGCAGTCGGGCTAGTAGGCGCTACTCTGCTATAGGTAGTAGATAGATCTCCGGGTAAAATTAACGGTAATAGTATAAATCGCGCACCGTTAGGAGCGCGTCTTTAAGCTTCTTAACCGATTTAGTTAGGATTCCTTTATCTACTACCTACTATCCTAGGAAGTTATAACCGTTAAGGGCGTCTAGGTAGAGTTCCTCGATTTTAGCCTACAGAGGCGGCGGATTTCCTATAAGCGGGTAATAATGTAGAACGTATAAGACAAGCAAGTCGATTCGGCTATACTTTGCCCTAAGCTAGGTCGCGAAGTTCTCGCTATAATCGACGTAGTTCTAAATATAGGAACAGATACGTAGGATATAAGGCTCTATATCTAGCAATCTGAGATTATAGTACTAGGGCAGCGGTTAAACCGCTAGCTTAGCTAATTTCGAGGCTTCTACTAGAGTTAGAAGCGAGTCCGAAGGAGCTACGGTAAGCGGGTAAACTATTAGTAAGAGGATAGAGGCGAGATAGTCTCTAAACGAAGGACAATAACGGAGAACCGACTAAAGGCGGAGGAGCGTAGCTTATCGGGTAGGTCCTCTTAGGGAAAGCGGCTACCCCTAGACCTAGGTATAGTAGGCAATTGCTACTAAAGGTAGAAACTACTACTACTGTCTCCTCGGGGTACTAATAGGATCGCCGATAAGGGGCTCGCGCGTTAGTAGGGTATAGTGCGGAAGGGTAGTAAATCGAATAGGTACCGTCGTAACGGATAGGAGTTAAATCGTAGTAATCGGCGGAAGATCGGTAGGACCCGTAGCTAATCGCGTCGATTCTCGTCGTAGCCGTAATAACTAGGGTCGATTCGGGTAGAGGACTAGTAGTTAGTATAGAAGCTAACTAAGTATTAAGCGAAGCTACTAAGTTGCTAGGCATACGGTTATAGTACGAAGGTATCGTAACGGTTGTGCGGTATAAAAGTTTATATATTCTCTAAGGTACTACGAAGTAAGCTATCTATATAATAGTCCTACTATTAGTAGCAATAGCGACCGTAGCGGTCGATAGTAACCGCTGCCTACTATCGTATATGCAATAGTGTTATATCGTAACAATAGGGGCACTAGTAGGGCTATTACTATACCGTATCCGGCTATTAGCTAGGTTTTCCTCTAGGTACTTACGTAATATAGTAAGCTCTCGTTTACTAAGGTTGTAGAGGGGTCTAAAAGGGACCTCTTTGCCCTCTATAATATTAATCTTATAATCCGTCTCTTTAAATATAGGCAATGTCGATACTAGATAGTGTTTAAATACCTCGATATAGGTCTCCCTAATAGTCTAGGGTATGCGAGCGAGCTAATTAGGATCTATACTATTAGGAGGTACGGGTTTATCGTTATTACTACCGAGTAGGTCGGCAGTAGGATTAGCTAAGGCGGAGGCTAGTATTAGGCTGCTAATAAATAGGACCCTAATATCGTTAGGGCACTCGCTAACATTAATGTATTTAATGTCCTCTTTCCTAGCGATTCTAAATCGCTACTTCTAAATGCCTAAGTCTATAGCTATAGCGTAGTACTTAAGAATAGGGTTACTAATAACAATATCGGATAGAAGGCTATCTATGTCTACTACGTAGGTAGTAAAGTTTAGCAGGCGCTTATTGCCGAGGTCGTCTCTTAGGGCTATATAGATATAGTAGGCTCCGTAGGTTAAGTGCCGAGCGTTATTAAACTAAGTAAGGGTTAGTAGGTTAGTCCTAGGCAATTGTCGAAGGTCTAATTACTTAGCTAGGCGATAGTTAATAAGGGCACTAACTAAATTTCCTAGGTCTAGTATAACCTTAGTTTTATAATTAGTGCTATACGAGTCCGATACGAGATAGGTACGTATAATAGCTAGTACAATGTCGATAGTCTTACGCCGTATAAGGCTAATAGTTAGTGCGGCGCTTACTCTTTTTTCGAAGGTTAGCCTATAGGGGTAGCGTTAGCTACTAAGAGGTGCTTTCGGTACTTAGCGGTAGTACGGTCGATTCGGGCCTAGTCCTTAGGTTTGTCGCATTAGCCTAGTAGATAGCTAGTGCTATTATAGTTAAAGCACTTTAATCCGGTCGGGAGATTGTTACTATAGCTATTATTGCTGCTATTATTAGTCGAGCGGTTAGTATTATAGGGATACGAGCCCCTTCTACGGCCCCTATCGCGGCCTCCTCTATATAGCCGCCGGCTACGGCCTCTTCTACGGTCGTTACTGTTTCTATTATTAGCATTATTATTATAGTAGGAACCTTAGTTTCCTCCGCGGCTACTACGGTTGCTACGGTTAGTACTAGTTAGTCGGATCCTCGATTCTAGTCTTTATTAGAGTTAAATAGCTCGTTTAGCTGTTTCTACCTCGACTATAAATTAAATACGTGTTAGGTTAGCCTATTTAAATATACGGCGGCGGTCTAATTCGAGAATAAGCTCCTACCTAAGCTTAGGGCGTATTTTAGAGATCTATATAGAATTAGTCTTAGCCGGGAGGTTATCCTCGAGGGTCTTTAAATAGGCCTCGAATAAGCGAGCCGATTAATTAGTCTTCTATTTAGCTCGAAGATATAGGTCCTAAGTATATTGTTGCCTTAGTATAGGGTTTCTAAGGGTATCTAGTATAATAGTTTTATAGGTCTGCTACTAAATAGCGGTCTAGTCGTCGAGGGAGTCGAAATAGTTATCCTATATACGCTTTAGGTCGCTATTAATATACTGTATAGCGTATACGACTAAGGAATAGTCGTCTAGTAGCGCTCTTAGTGCATTGCGCTAGTTAAGTTTATAGTTACGAATGTAGTCGTTATACTGCTTTCGACTAGAGCTATTAAATATAGTATAGTCCTTAAGTTTAGCGTCCTTCCTTTAGATAGGTAGTAAAGAAGGTCCTACTATTAATTTAGTTATCGGGGCTTCCTAAAGGCGACGGAGCTCGAGGAGGTTATCCTTTAGCTATTATTCTTAGCGTAGGGCAGTAAGCCTATTCTAAGTAGCTTCTTAAAGTCTCGCTACTAGTTAAGGACTAAAGGCTAGCTAGCTATATCGTCGATTAACAATGTTATTAAGAATGTCGTTAATAGGCAATCCTAGGTTATTACTTAGAATTATAGGTTCTTTAGTAGGCTTAGTAGTAGGCTCTTTAGTAGGAGGCACTTTAGTAGGTGCTTTAGTAGGCACTTTAGTAGGCACTATGCTACTAGCGTTGTCGTTACTAGCGCTACTAGCGGCAGAACGGTTATTGTTTCGTAATAAGCCGGCTATTGTAATAGGGGGTAATACTAATAATATATTATTAGCCCCTAAGATGCAGATATAGCGGAATTAGTAGATATTAGTCTAGTACGATTAACTTAGTATAATAGGCCGTATAGAAGGCCTTGCTTAATAATTAGTACGGTTGTTTCGATAGAATAGTACGTATAGGTCCTATTCTTTAGGCGCAATATAGTTAGATTAGTCTTATTCGTAGCTATACCGCTAAAAGCTTAAAATAAGAACTATCTAGCTACTGCCCTTAAAGGGTAGATCGAATACTATATAAGAAGGGTATATTAGTAGGTAGATAGGGTAGTAGTAGGTACGAGTAGCATTCGATAAGGAGCTAGGAGGAGAGGGAGGAAGGTAGGCAAGTTAGCCTACTACTAAGCGCTAAGCCCTACCTAAGGCATCGAGACCCTAGCTTTACTCGAGTCCGGTTATATACTAATTACGTATAACCTCTTTAGTCCTAATATAAGGACTAGGTAGCGAATATAGTTATTATAACTACTATTAAGATAGCTATAAAGCCGGAGATTAACTGCTTTATACTATACTTCTACGCGCTATAAAATAGATCTAGTAAGCTCTATAGCCCTTTATTTAGATTAAAGAAGGCGTATAAGTATACTATATGCTAGTATATAACTATAGTTTATTACTAGTAGTTATTATCGTTATAGATAGTCTAATAATTAATACGCGACTAGAATATACGTAGTAGTCGACTCTCTAGTACAATTAGCCTTAGAGGCTTCTAATTGTATTTGCTTCTAGCTAGTCTACTATTTATTCTATTAAAGTAGACCTATACCTACCCTTTCTTATAGTATAGGTATAATAGGGCTACTAAACTATAGAGATTAGCTTAAAGTAGTTAGATATAGTAAGGGGCCGGAAGCTAGTTATTTACTTACTAACCTAATCTATCCTCTTAGCGAATTTCTTAGTTAAGTTAGACAAACTAAAGTAGAGTAGGAATTGCTATTAAATACTACGTACGGCTTAGATCTGATCGTTTCGTATGTTTAGATTCCTTACTCTAGTCGATATCCTAGTTTTGCCGGTGAACCCCGACAGCTAACGAGTTATTATAGGGGATCGATGGCGTCTATCAGAGTTCAGTTGCTAAAACGCTACAGTGCGCCATTTTCGATGAAGCTTGGCTTGATGCGCCTAGCACCCCGCCATCTTGATTGGGCTCATCTTCGGAACTCTATGCCGTGTGCCGTATGCATGTCCATCTCTCGAGTCTCATTCATCACCCTTTGAAGTGCAATGCGCATTCACTCACGATAGCCATGGCCTCCGTACTTTCGTCCCATCCACGCGCTGCACTCGACCCTTCAGTAGCTTCGGCAGACGCCAACGATCGCCTTTCCGCCCTCCCGCCTGAGCTCCTCCACCACATAATCGGCTATCTCTGGCCTACGCATTTCGCAGAAAAGGCCTTCCACGAGACACGCCAATCTTGCCGCTGCTCGCATTGCGTGCGATCCACACACGGCAATAATCATGACTTGGACTACCTCGCTGCCACTTGTAAGATCCTCCGTGCCGAGGTGAATGACTGGGCTCGCTCCTGGCTGCTTCAGCACTCGGACATTACGAAGTTCAACGAAGGTCGCATCTGGCCCAAGGCCACGACCAAGCGCAATGGCGTTGTACAGATGCGCAAGAACTTCAACACCAACTTTCTGAGAGGCAGGAACGGCGCCCTGCTCAACTGGATGGACACGAACTGTATCTTCTGTGGAAGGAAATCGCGTCGCGCAGCCATTATGATGAATGGTTTTCGTTGCTGCACGCATTGCGATAAGAAAGAGTGGCCTGAGAAAGTGACCATGTCTCAAGCTGTGGAGGACTATGGCTTGTCAAAGAAAGAGCTTCTGCCCACCCGAGAGGCATCTCACACGGAAGTCGCGAGGATGCGTGAAGAATTTCCGGGCTTCCAAGGAATTTGGTATGGTACTTACGTATCCTCCAATGTCCGGACCACAATGTTCATGAAGCACGATTTGCGGCGATTGGCCACCACGATATTTGGAGATGTCGACGCCCATCTTGCAAGGCGAGAACTGCGTAAGAAGTTGGTGAAGCAGAAGAAAGAAGAACGCAAGAAGGAGAAAGCAGAGAGGGCCACAGAGAAAGCTGCTACAAGAGAACCTGACTTGAATGCTCTCGCCGTGGCGTGCACGACGCAACAAATACCAGCGGGCTGGCCTCTGCAGGCACCCAGCTTGTGTGCTCCTAGAAGTACCGTGACCGAGATCTCAGAGGACACCACGGCTGGGGCGGACCAGGACCAGCCGATAGTGATTGATTGAGCTACGCCGTGCAGGTCTCGAATTGCCTCGCGCGGGCGTTTCCTACCCGCAACTACAATTGAAGCATCGATGTGAGGAGAAGGAGAATTTACGACTTTGGACGAAATGACGACACACACCTGTGACGAGATATCTATAAAAAATATACAGATTTACAACGATTGACGGCTATGCTTGATATGCAACATTAATACCGATGCTGTCTCCAAGTTTCGGTTCAAGCCTTCTCCAGTTGATATGAAATAGTGCATTTCAAACCACACACGTGGCAAGTTTTGAAAATTTCATGACTGACTTTATTCCGTCTGACGAAGCGCCAATGGGCTGCAGCAGGAGGGTCAGCTTGCAATTAAAATGGTCACGACCACAGCCTTAATTCCATGGGTTACATCAGGCTGGCCGTGCACTCTTTTTTCCTCTCTCTCAAGATCGAATTCTCGAACACACACCCTCAAGCTCACAAATCTTTCCAGTACTCATCAATCAATCAACCATCCATCCATCCATCCATCAATCCGACAGACAAGAAATCCCAACATGTCAACCACCTCGAACTCCTCCTCTCCATCCTCAGAAGAAGACACCATACGCCTCCGCATCCAAACCCTCCCAAAGGAACTCCGCGACATAATCCAAACCTTCGTCCTCCTCCTCCCCTCCGACACCACAATCCACCTAACACCAACCTACCAACCCCCCCTGGCCCTCCAAATCAACCGCACCCACCGCACCCACTCCTCAAAAAACTACTACACCACCAAAACCTTCCAAACCAGCAGCACCCCAACCCTCCTCCTCAAATGGCTAAAATCCCTGCACCCGCTACAAACCACCAAAATAAAAACCCTCCACATCGCACGCTTCGACACCATCGAAGAAGCAACCTCCCACTCACATTTCAATTCCCAAATTCCAAGGATCATGTTCCGACCACTTCTATATTTTGAATTAGAAGAACTTCGAAATCAAATTTCACAGGCGGGGATAGAATTGAGAGATGGGAGGGTCTTGAAGATTGATTGGAAAGCTCCATGTTCAAAAGACGAGGATGATGTGAAGGTGTGGGTTGATAGGAGGGATTTGGCGGTGGGGGATCCGAGGAGAGGGTGGTATGAGGCGGGGTGGGATGGGAGGGTGGAGGAGAGGGAGGATATGAGTAAGAAGCCGTATGTGGATTTTAGGACGAGGTTTGGGAGGGAGGGGTATAGATGTTTGTGAAGGGTGATGGTGATGGAAGGGGGTGGGTGGATGGGTTTGATTTTTTCGTATATGAATGGATTGGAGCTTCGTTCTGTTCGTGAAGGGAAGAAAAGGACATGGTTCTATGTCTGGATGAATCTAGAATGTGAGGGTGGAAGGGATATCATGAAGCATACGAGCGTGGTTTTATGATATTCTACATGAGAAACGCTACACGTATGCTGCAGACCTCAGCGATTCCATGCCTGCTTCGGATTATCCTCTATGCTGAATGATGTCTGTAGTACTCCAATATCTTATCATGGTACACTCTCCGGTATGTCTCCAGTGTCAGTTCCCAGTCCGGTTCTGATGAGAAAGTCACTCCACGGTAATCTGTGTAAGGGTAGTCCCAATCGCAACGAGTGTATCGTGCACACCATCGTCTGATATAAGCCTTGTACTCTTCCTAAGACAAGCCAATGGGAGCATCCCAGTCGACCTCCTGAGAGCCGTTGGTTTCTCCGATTTCTCCGGCACCAGATTCATTGTCCGCTTGGAAGCCGTGACCAGAGTTTGCGTGATCGTGAGACCCATCACTCACCCCATTGTTCACCTGTATTGAATGCAATGCATACACGACTACAACAGGCGCTGGTGGGATTGCCATGCCAGTGGAGATAACGCCAACCTACGGAGCCTCCCAGTCTGGGTTCTTCTTGAGTATGCAAATGCCTTCCATGACATTCGACACCGAGATCCATTCTTCGTCTTCCAGCTCGGCACGCTCACCGTAACTCAACAAGACCGGAGTGCTTTGAGTCTGCCAGCCAGTAATTGTCTTGGGACGACCAGCTTGGCCAACGACATCCACAGCCTGTCCAACGCGAACATTCACCTGCAGCGGCTTGAGGTCCTCGTCCAACGTCACCAAGAAGCGAGGATGCATGGCCGTCACGAGGTAGTACAGCAGGTAGTGGTTGTCGCCAAGGATGAAGGACTTGGGATTCTCCACTAGCGAAAGCACCACAATAAGAAGACCGGCGGCTGCCACTCGCGACATGACCGATCGATCGGTGTGGAAGGGATTGATGGAGAGCGTGCCTTTGCCCATGTGGAGCAAACCTTGAGCGATGCGCACCATGAAGAGCGCATTGGGATCTCGGTGGTAGTAAGATGCCAGTTGTCGAAGCAGCTGTGCAAGACGAGCGTTGTTTGTGCCAGCTCCGAGCATGCCCATCGCGAAGATGGCGTTGACTGCAACGTCGATGTCGTTGTCGTGCGAATACCTTGAAAGCGTATCGTAGACCTTCATCTGCGGATTTGAAGGGCTGATCAGAGCCATTGCAAGAGGCACAGCTTTCCGAATGTTGGCTTCACCGTAGTGCATCAAATGACCGAATTGTCGAAGGACCATTTCTTGACCGACTTCCTCGCCCATAGCCACGAGACTGAGACCCAGCACGGCATAGGCCTGGACGAGCTGCTCACCAGCTTTGTCCTTCTTCTCACCACCATCTTCCTTGTCCTTGTCCTCATCGTCCTTATCGTCATCTTTATCTTCGATGTGCTCGTTGCAGATGTGGAGCAATTGCTGCAGCTTCAGCACATTGCCTGTGCCTGCCCACGCACAAATCTCTGCAAGAACAGATGCTGGCTTGGACATCGGATGCTCGATGGCTTTGAGCGTCTCGAGAATGACATCAACCTCTTCCTGTTGGCCGAAATAAAGAAGTGCAAGGGCGAGAGTCATGAATCGGGTCCACTTGTCCTTGAGCTGCTTGTTCCTGTCTTCGTCGAGGAATGTCTGGATGATGGTTTCGCTGACATCCGAGTTGGCAGTGCCCACAAATACCATACCAAGCGACAATGCAGCCATGGCTGACTGCTGCATCTCGAGTCCAGTATCTGCAACGACGGGCAGAAGCAGCTCCAGAAGTTCCTCCTTGTTCGAGCCAGCATATGCCAAGCCCAAGCCCATGATTCTGGCAACCTTCTCGGACACAGACTTGCCCTCCAGGTCACCAAGCAGAGCCATGGTAGGATCACTTTCCAAGCGCACGCCGGAGTTCATAATACCCATGGCAAGCGCTGCGCCAGCTTTTATCTGGTCTTCGGAGACGTATGTGTATGCATCGATTCTGTCGAGACCCATCTCCACGTCCCACAGCATCAGCATACCAGCCGACGCTGCAGTGGAGATCATGCCCTCCTCTTTCACCTTCCATATCCAGCTTCCCTTGACGCCTCCTTCGACAAGCATCAGCTTGTCTTCTCCAAAACCGGCGTTGACGAATGCGTTGACGAAAGCGGATGCGAGGTTGTGTCGCGCGGAGTCGGTATTCGTCAGACCAGCTGTCCTACTTGACTCCAGATGTGACTTGTAGATGTCTTCGGGCATCTTGGGGTCGAGCACATTCAGCTCTTTAGCCAGGGACTTGAAGTGCTCGGGAAGTTTGGTGTTGTTCAGGCACTCTTGCAGCTCGTTGTCTTCTGCATCATCACCCTCTAGGTCCAAACATATTCGCTGCCTCGCGAGGAGGAATGCAAGCTGTCGCTTTACAGCTTTGTCGGGCGAAGCGTTGAAGTCGGACTTGATCAGCTCCATGTCATTCAATCGTATAGCAAGAGAGATCGCCTGTGTGAGCTGCTTATAGTGGACGTAGATTTCGTGAGCCGTTCGAAGGAAGCGATCATTGTCCGGATATGTGAGCAGAGGGACCATGGTCACCATGTAAAGACAGACTCGGGCATATGTGTTCTCGTCCAGATGCTTCGGCAATTGCTCGATCATCTCCAATTCTGAGAGGATGTCGACGGCATCGGCTTCTGCGTTGTGCTTCAAGAAGAAGGGCACGAGCGACAGCGCCAAATTGACGATGTCCTCGGTGTCCTTTTCGTCATCTAGTCGCTTCTGGTACTCCTGGCCGATTTCGAGAGCCAGATGGCGCATGTATTCGTGACCCCAAGAGCCTAGATCTGTGGAAGGCGCGAGGAGGCGGTATTTGAGGGTGTCTCGGGTGTCTTCGTCGTCGGAGTATGTCATACCAAGGACGGATCTAGATATTATCAGCTCCACTCGAGAAGACCGAGCTCACACAGTACTTACAGCGTATCCGCCAGCGAGTCCTTATCTGCGCCCTTGGGCCACTTCTCGTACGCTGCCGTAAGCTTCTCATAATGCGGTCGCAAGAACTTGAGCGGCTTTGGTACTGCGGTCATCGAGCTCGTAGATGTCTTGATGCTGGTCTTGATGGCCTCCAGCGCGGGCTTGTGCAGTGATGTGTCGGGCTCCAGTAACCGCTCCACGAGCATATCTAACTCATCCTTGAGCTTCTGATCTTCTTCGTTCAACTCCTCCGGCGGCAACTCGAGGTCGCCCTCCTTCTTGCCACCCTTATCCTTTCCATCTGCCTGGACGCCATTGACGCCATTGGCCTGCTTGACGTCTTCAGCCTTGCCCTTCCCCTTCTCTTGGGCCTTGCGCTTCCCTTCCTCCTTCGCCATCGTCGACGGTGCTAGTGCAAACTCCGCCTGTTCGAAGCGGCGAGAGCGCTGATGCTCGGTGGTCTGGGGGTGTAGCAGAAAGGAGTATCGATCTCGAGATGTGGGGATAGAGACCGTGTCGTTGGGGAGAAGAAGCAGAGATGGCGGGTGAGTGGATGATTGTGGTGGTGGATGTCGATGAACGAACGCGTAGAGCTCGATGCCTCAGGTCAGCCAAGCCCGCGCCGGCAACAGCGACCGAAACCTCCGACGGCAGTGACTTCACCCCAAAATTTCTAGTCCTGAATATGCGATCCATCCTTCTCTTCTATGCTGCCATACTGGAGATAGTGACAAGATGAAGCTCGATACAAAAGCAATCCGCTACCTTACCGGCGATGATTGGCGAGTACTGAACGCTGTATGTTCCTCCCATCGTCACTTCCCCGACGTCAACTGACACCTGCTAAAGCCATGTCCAGTTCGAACAAGGGAGCAAGAACCATGAGGTTGTGCCAGTACCTCTGATCGAGAAGATTGCTGGTCTCAGAAGTGGTGGAGGCGGCATTCAAAGGAACATTTCGAGCCTCGCCAAAGTTGGCCTCATTGCGAAAGTCAAGAACGCACGGTGTATGTATGCTGCTGATCACATGTTGCTTCATTAACCAGATACTGACTTCGCGACTCAGATGATGGCTACCGCCTCACTTACGGCGGACTAGACTACCTCGCACTCAACGCACATAGAAAGGCCAATATCATCTTCAGCCTTGGCAATCAAATCGGTGTAGGCAAGGAATCCGACATCTACATCACAGCATCACCAGACGGCCGACAGCAGGTACTCAAGCTGCACCGTCTAGGCCGAATCTCATTCCGAACCGTCAAAGCCAATCGTGACTATCTTCGGAAACGGAGCACGGGATCATGGATGTACCTTTCGCGCCTCGCTGCGCAAAAGGAGCACGCCTTTATGCGCGTGCTGTATCGAGAAGGATTTGCAGTCCCAGAACCGCTTGCTTGGAGTCGGCATACAGTGGTCATGGAGTTCATCGACTCTTTCCCATTACGAATGATTGATACCGTAGCAGATCCGGGCAAGCTTTACGCTGATCTGATGGATCTGATCGTTCGCTTGGCTCAGCGCGGACTGATACACGGCGATTTCAACGAGTTCAATATCTTGATCAAGGAGGAGGCACATGGGGACAAGGTCAAAGTCATTCCTATACTGATCGACTTTCCTCAGACTGTCAGCACGAATCACGCAAATGCCCAGTACTATTTCGACAGAGATGTGGCGTGCATCAAGCGGTACTTTGCGCGAAGGTTCAAATACACATCTCACGAACCAGGGCCATTCTTCGCAGACTCAATCAGAGGCGTCGAGCCAGAACAAAGGCTTGACATCGAAGTCGAAGCGAGTGGTTTCTCCAAGAAGATGGGAAAGGAGCTTGAGCGCTTCGTCGAAGCTACAGGAAGTGACCATTCGGAGGCGCTTTTGGATCAGCAGAACGAAGAAGATGCAAGGGAAGATGGAGGTGGTGAGACGGAGGACGATGAGGATGGCGCGGAAGCAGGCGACGAGCTTGTCGAGGACGCCGAGGTGGATCATTCCCAGCTAGAGTACGGTGTGAAGACGTTGTCGCTGCAGGATGATCCTGGAACGAAGGCCTACAGTGCCGCCAAATTTGGGCTTGAGCCTCTCGAGTTGCCGCAGGAGCCTGATGTTGTAGCGGAGAAGGTGCGGACGAAGAAGAAGGCCAGCGGATGGGCTATTTGATGCTTGGCGATTCTTGATTGAGAAACTGTAAGCTCATTTCGCGTTTCGTTCTCCTCAGTGATACAGCGAATGGCTGCCTTCCAAACTATTTCAGCTCAGCTGCTCACCCACGAATCTGGTGGAAGTCGGTGCTGATCACATCGCGAGCCTTGAAGCTGCTTCATTATGTTCTGACACTTGTGTGGTCCAGATCACTCTCCCGAGCGCGTTCCTGCCGTGAAGATCGAGCTGTGTAACGTGATTGCAAACGAAGCTCTTGGCGCATCAACACGACGAACACAGCAACAGCATAAACAAACACCAGACTCGCTCGCGAATTTCAGCTTTAAAAGAACTCTCCCGCGAAGCACTTCAGCAGCGCGCATGCACATCACAACATCATTCATTGGACCAACCAACATGGCTACCACCGCACTTCGCCACATCTACTTCTTCATCAATGACCGCGGCGACACTGCGCAAGATCCTAAGATGCCCTCCGACAGCGACGATGCCGGCCTGAAAGTCTCCACTGCGCCTGTACAGAACGGCTCGACTGCCTCGACCGATCCTAGCCCAACGTCCGTCTCCTCCCGAGCTGGTCTTGATTCAGCGTCCAGCACTGCATCGACTCACAGCTCGCCACTCACACCAACGGCTCCAGCCTTTGAACCCAATGGATTCAATCCAGCGGCCAAGATGTTCGTCCCGCAGGCGCCCAAGGCCATGCCAGTGCGCACCAAGCATGTGCCACCATTCGAGATGCGCCTCTCGCCAGGCAAAGGCTATGGTCTTTTCGCCACTCGTCGCATCCCCGTCGGAGCCAGAATTCTGGGCGAAAAGCTTCTTCTTGCCATTGATCCGAGCGATCTGGCCAATGTGCACCGCAAATACCTCAAGCTTACGGCGGATGAGCGTGCGGTCTACGACAGTCTCAGCTGTTTCCACCCCTCGCACATCGACTTCGAACAAGCAGCAAATGTCTACGTGGCCATGAGTCCGCGATACCACTATGTAAGCAACGAGGCTCTGGAGACACTGAAAGGAGAGGTCGTCAAGGCCATGGGCATCTTCTCCGCCAACAACTTCATCCTGGCCGGCGGCAACCAGGGAGTCTTCGCTCTGGCTTCGCGCATCAACCACAGTTGCGTGCCGAATGTGCATCACACCAACAATCCCAACATTCGCAGAGAGACTGTTCATGCCATGCGCGATATCGAGGCTGGCGAAGAGTTGCTAGCAAACTATCTCGGCGCAGGAGCCACCTACGACCCTCGCCTCACCCGCATGGAGGCACTTCGCAACAACCATGGCTTCATCTGCCAGTGCCAGGCTTGCATGGATCCCAACTCCGACGAGCGCCGACACAGCATCAGTTCCATCTTCTGGGGCCTGAACGCCTACATGGAGCACTCAACCGAAGGCCATCCCTACATCCCACATGATCCTTATACTGCTTTGGCTCAGGCAGAACATGGCATCAGTCTTATGATGGAAGAAGGTATTTTCAACACCGAGCTCTGCAAAGCCTATCGCGTGGCGTCCATGGCCGCACTCGATCTCGAGGACTATCAGAAAGCCATGGAGTATGCAGAGAATGAGCTGGAAATCGAGAAGAACATCATTGGCGTCGAGGTTAGTACCTTTCCCTCACCTACGATTTCATTTCCACATACTGACAGTGAGCAGGTTAATGACCTTGTGCAGAAGGGGGTGGCAGCTAAACTGTGGCTCAGCAATGTCAGTGCAATGTCTGCAGAGGCTGCTCATGTGAAGTATCAGAAGGCGCAGAAGAAGAAGGAGAAAAAGAGACTCGCCAAGAAGGCCAAAGCAGAGGTTAAGCAGGCTGCTGCAGCTCCTTTTCAAGACGAATGAGCTCTGAAAGAAAGTATTATAGCAGCATTGGGGAGACTTCCGTCGTGAGCACGGAATTGCAATACAGTATACTTGAGCAGCGTTATCAGCGAGCATCGATTTCGGTTGGCGATCCGGCGGGACATTGAACGGTTTTTCAGCGTGTAATAACAACAACAAACAACAGAATAGATAGAAGAATAGGAGACTGCATCCCAGCGTCAACAAAAATCCCAGCATCTTTCATCACTTCTTCATCTACAACCAGATCCTACTACTAATTGTCTGCTGTGGTTGAATATCATTTGCAAGGTCGGAACCAGGAACAGTCGACGCAAGGATCCTCGCCCACACCCAACCCCACGATCGATCTCACCCCCTCGTTCGTCATGGACCACGAACTAAACATCACCCTTACATTAGGACCCCTACACTTCAAAATCTCTCACAAAAACCACATCACACCATCCCTTCACGACGGTACTCGAAATCCTCATCAGCGTCCTCATCATAAAAAATCTTTGTCTTCTTCTTCTTCAACAGCTGCAACAATAGCTTCCCACGCTTCCTACGCCGCGCGTAGACTCTCGCAACATTTGAGGAGTTTGAGTTTACAAAGTTCGAAAACAACGAGGATGGGGAGTGTGATGATAGAAGAGGCGCCGTGGAGGAAGGAGTTTGAGAGGAATTTAGAAAAAATGGAGAGGAAGGAGTTTGTGTTCTGTTCGTTGGGGGAGGGGGAGAAAGGGAGGTAAGTACAAAAAAATCAATCTCGAAATTTTGTGTGCTGATTGCTGATTGATGATGATATTTTCTAGTCCAACCCCCTACCTCCCCCGAGCCCGCTACTGCATCCACCGCGCCTTCTGGACCGAACTCCCCAGTTCAAACACCCACAACCCCGCCCCCAAAAACCCTGTAGTCTACGCCTCCGACATGCCCACCTTCACCACCGACGTCCGGATGTCGAAAACTTTCGAAATCTTCAACACATCTCCATACCAAGGACAAGGACAAAAAGTCGATCAGAAAGGTTCCGGCGGTGGAGGACCTTGTGAGGCTGTGTATTGGGCGAAGGAGACGATGACGCAGTGGAGGTTTAAAGGTGAGGCGTTTTTTCTGGCGCGGGATTTTGAGGATGAGCAGGAGTCGGAGGGGACGAGGATGGTGAAGAGGGAGTTGGGGAAGAGGATGAGGGTTGTTAGGGAGGAGGGGGTGGAGGAGTGGAGTTGGGGGAGGGAGGTGACGGGGCATTTTGGGAATGTTTCGCCGGGGATGAGAGGTGAGTTTTGAGAGCGTGATGCGGTTTTCTTTGCTGGGCTTCACTGTTCGGTATGGGAAGCGCTGCGATGGCCTCCTGAAAGTGGCATGTCAATGCCTCTCGCGTGGATCGTATGCGTTTGCTGCCATCTTCAACAAATTTTGCACGTTGGTGCGAGGAGGAAGTTGCATCATCTCAGCACCCTTCGGCACAAAAAGCATATGCCGTTGTGGTTGTTGGGCAGCAACGCATGTCATCGTCGAAGACCAGTGCGTGTACGCCACGACCTGGATGTACGGCTCCTTCTGCAAGTCATGAACGATGGACATGAGTCGTGAAGCTCAAAGCCGCTCATCGCAAGCGCTTGTCGGACCGTGGCATGACGAATCTTCAACCTCACCTCGACATCCTCATCTCATAAAGCTGTTGCAGTTGCTTCAGTAGTCATGGTCTATCCGCTGACATACTCTTCCTCTCCAGGTACCTTCCAAGCACCGCCTCCTGGACAGCCGGTCGACAAGCCATATGATGACAAGAAGCTGAAACTCGGCGAGAAAATCGAGGACCTGAATCATCCCGTCGCGAGGGAGAATTTCCGTGTAGTTGTCATCAGACCAGACGAGGTGGAATCCGTGGATCTTTCCGATCCAAAGAAGTCAAGAAGACAAGTCTACAAGGTATGTACAAGCGCCGTGGGCCCGAATGTCAGATGCGGGTGGAGGTGCTTTTTGACGTTGAAACTAAGCTTCGTACTGACATGTTCCAGTTTAATGCTCATGATGGATCATGGTCGCATGAAGAGTGCTGGCCTTAATTTTCCCCTGGTCTGATCTAGCGGCATAGATGAGTAGATGAACAAAGCGCAGCGGAGAATGATAGACAACAAGTATGATTGCGACAGGCGCCAAGAATTCGAAGAGCCGACATTTTCGTAGTAAGACTCCACTGGAAGTCCACAGCGCCCACAACCTATCACAAAGAGTCCAGTACAGTGGCACAGGGAAGCTGCGACTTCCTAATACAGTTGACTTACATTCCATGCGACGAGAATAGGCGAACCGCGAAATCGAATCTTGAAATGTAAGGCAGCCTAGCATCGTAGAGAAAGATCTCATCTGAGGGCGTTGGTGTGACTTCAGTGTCGTTGATTATGGAACGGGTCCTCGCGATTTGTTATACAACCCTGCTTTTGCTCTGCGTTCCAACTTCCAAGCGAGAAAGGCTGCATGTGGGGAAAATGATAGGGTAGTCGATATTGCATGGGGCGGCATTGTCGACGCTGTGCAACTTTCATCAGGGACTACAAGTGAGATCGACTGCACGGTGTGTTGGGGGTTACAAGGATGATGATGATGAAGTACGGCAAGGCAAGATTTGGCAGTTGCCGGTTACGCATCCATCCATCCCATTATGTATACGGCCTACTGTACGTACATAGACGAAAAGGGCAGAATAATACCCCGAAGCTTCCGTTCATGACATGACTTCACTGCTTATGGCAGAGCACAGCTGCCATCGCCCTTGTACGGCATCGAAGCGTCCGTTTCCGCTACTGTACTCTACTGTACTGGACGCCAGCAGGCGCCCGGAATTGCGGCATGGAACCTAATGTGGCGCGCTTCGACGAATGCAGGCAGCTCAGTAGGGGTGCCAGGTTGTTAATTGTCAGCAACGTTACTAACGTTGCTAACTATGTTAATAACGTTGCTCTTGTCCACTAAGTTGTTAGTAATATAAGGCTAACTAGGGCTAACCAGAGGTGGAAGGTAATGCTATATTAAAGGCAATATAGCTATAGAATAAGACTACTTCTTACTATAGATTGAGACTACTATATAGACCACTTCTTGCTATAGAATAGACCACTTCTTAAGCTTAATAATGCGGCCGTTGTTAGAGCGCTTGTTGTCTAAGCGCTTCCGCACTAGTATAGTCACTATATATCTCTAGCTATTACTAGCCGTTGTTAGTATTGTTGTCTTATAAGAGCGACTGACTGAATAGCGTATAGCTAACTAGAGGGTCGTGTTTAGTAGAAGCCTAGCTATCAACTGGCTTAAAGAATAGTAAGTACTATAGTAGTTAACTGCTCGTTGTCGCCTCGAAGAGCGCTTTATAATTAATAGGCTCGTCTTCGAAGTCGTTATCTTCTTAGTAGTAAGATGGACTATATAGATTGAACAGCTGTTTAAGGTTAGGTATATAGAGATAGCGAGGGTCGCTTAGTAGCAAGTAGTAGTCATTTATTATAGCTTCTTCGAAGGCAAGCAATACGTCTAATTCCGCCTTCCTAATCTCTTTCTTAGTTGCTAACTATCGCTGCTATATCTCTCGTAACTTAGCTTATCGTTGCCGTCTTACTACCTCTTCTGCTAGTCGCTTACGCAAGGCGCGGCTATTTATATAGATATAGGTACAGTCGTCGGTGCGCGTAGCGGACAGCTTCGAGCGATAGTCGTTCTATATAAAATTTATAGCGCTAAAGGCTCGCTCGGAAGGCACTAAGTTAGCAGATATTCTATATAGGCGGAGGGCGACTTCCGCTATAAGAGGCGCTTTGCGAGTAAGGAAGTCCTAATAAGTAGTAATATTGCCGCGCTCTCGGTGCCGACTAAGCTCGTAGTAGTTGCTAATAGCGAAGAAGCGTTGCGTAGAGTCTCGGAATTCGATAAATTCGTCGTTAAATCGTAGATAGCGTTTGAATATAGAAGGATCGTAGTCTTCGTAGGCAAAATAGCGCTTAAAGAAGGCAATGCGGCATTCTTCTTCGCGGTTACTAAATTCTCGAGAAACTAATAGATTGTTAATATATAACGAGTGCGCTGCCTAGTAGACGGGTTGTGTTTACTTAATAAACCGGAGGTCGAAGAGCGATAATAGGTCCTTCTAGTAAGGTAGGCGCGCCTACTTAATCGAGCGACGTAGTTGCCGCTAGCGAGGCACTATATCGCCAACCTTAGAGGTGTCGCTCTTACTGACTAGCCGTGCTTCGTTAATTAGCTAAAGGAGTGTATAAAGGCTCTATAGGCGGCTCTAGAATAGAGGCGAGTTAATAGTCTTAAGGGCAGTAGAGGCGCCCTTTGCGAGGCGACTATTCGAGCCTCGGAATAGCCTATAAGCTATAACCCTCGAGCAGTCTTAAAGGGTTGTTATTACTATAAACAGGCTATGTATTGCAGCATAGTGTAACCCCTAGCGAGTAAGACAGGCGATAGCAAATGCCCTTAAAATAGCCTCGTTGTCCTTAGCAAAGGCCTTTAGGATATTCTAAGCCTTCTTCGACCTCTTAAATAAGGCAAGCATATATAAAGCCTCTCGGAGCGTGTCGCTATAGAACGGCAGGTGCGAGTCCTTCTAATAGTTACCCTAGTCGCTAATGTATAGCTGTATGCTATACGAGTCGCAGAAGACGCAAATTATATGCTTAGTAAGTGGATTCTCGGCGAGTCGGTCCTAGAGTAATCTCATTGTCGCGTAGGTATCGGTTTGCAGGCTATTCTATCGTTTAAGGTTACTATTAACAAAGGGCGCTACCTGCTTAGTTACCTACCGCGCGAGGGTAATAGCGTTAGCGTTAGAGTCCTTTATATCTAGCAGGTTACAGAAGAACGAGCTAGACACTGTATTAGCTAATAGGTTGCAGAAACGAGTACTACCGCGGCTCTTACTCTTATTAGCGCTAAAGTTGAGGTCTCGAAGCGTATCAAACACCGCCTTAACGTCCTTCTCGACCTCCGCTCGTACCGTATCGATACAATCCACTACCTTGTCGCGACTTAGAGGGTTATAATTAGTGTCGAAGGTATAGAAGGCCTCGCGCTATTTAGGATAGAATCTCGCGTCTACGAGATTAAATAGCCTTCCGCTATACAATATCGCCCTCGTAATAGCCAAATTACGTACCTTCTTAGACTTAGCGACACTAAATAGCAGCGTGCGTTGCTTACGCGGCGGCGCCTCTTTATCGTTAGAATAGTAAGCCCTCTTATAGTCTAAATACTTCTAACATTTCGCTAGGTACGCCTTCTTCCGTAACAGGCTTCCCTCTACTATCGTTCCTTTCCCGCTATCGTACTAGATATACCTTACAAATTTGCCTATATTAGCGGTGTCGACTTAGGAGAAGTTAAGGTTGACTAGGTCCTTTAAACGAGGCATTTTGAAAAAGTCGGAATTATAAGATTCGTAGAATTGCTAGAAATGCGAAAATCGGAGGATTAGGTAGTCGAAACAGGTAGAAAAACAGTAGGCAATTCTCTCTTAACAATACCTCTCGAACTATCTAGTTTTAGGCTATTCGGACAACATTAGTAAACCTACCATTCTACTAACCCTAGTAGTATAGTTGCTAGGTAACCCTCTACTAAGCAGTCGCCTAAGCAACCACTACTCGGAAGAGCTATATAAGCAATCTCTACACTAATCTACACCAAATTAAGCTTAGCTAAGTCGGAAGAGACGGATCTACAAAGGATATTAGCACCGAGATAGTTACGAAGGCACTATGCTATTGCTATAGGCTCAGTCCATTCTGTACTATAAAGAGGTGAGGTCTATATAGACACCTAAGGCATGAATATTGATACTAACTGGTTATTAACGTTGTTTTGTTACTAACGTTGCTTTCCACCGACAAGTGGTTACTAACAGCACCCCTACAGCTCAGCGTGATGCTGTTCACTTGTCACGGCCAGTGTCGCAACGCGATGGAGCTCATTATTGCAGGCTTGTAAGGTTGCAGGGCAGGAGGGTCCGATGTGCTCTCCGTGGTTCTAGCGGAGACCTCCCCATGTCAAAGGATGCTCAGCTGTCTGGCTGGGTGCAGGAGGCCGCATGCGTGTCAGTTTCCTGTTCGTCACCGCTGATCTCAGATCTGCTGTTGCATTTTCGCGATCAGCACGTGTGTATGCAATGTTTGTCATTCTCATGTGTTGTACGCTGATCTATACAGACAGTGGTGCAGCTGTCTCCGAGTGCAGACAGTTCCAAGTTGCAGGTGCTAGCATGTCTTTGTGGACTTTGTGGGCGTACGGCAAGGTTCCAGGTTCTGTGCAGGGGGGCTTGCAGAGAGCCGGTAGAATGCCGATGTTGCGCCATCTTGAGAATGTTATTATTATTAGATTGATTACCGGTATATTGATGCTTGTTGAAATGAGAAAAGCATCTGTGTCACTGTGTGATGTTTTACGCTGGCCTAATGATGATACCAGATGAATGTCACTGATACTCCACAGAGTACGAACTGTATGGCCTCGAGACATAGGCTTAGAAATGTTGCAAGAGCTCCTGAATGATAGCTGTGTACCATTCACACGCGACCCAGACAGAGCGCCAGGGCCGCAACGCCAATTCCGGAGCGTCGCAGGGGTCGGGGTGTGCTCTTGGTCCTCAACCCAAAATTGTTTGTCGAAGTGACGGCATTCGAGGTGTAAATGAGTATTTGATAGTGCGTGTGCCTCTTGATGATGATGGATGAAGTTCGTGAGGAACTCCCTGAACTTCCACCTCGGCCATCGTCTGTCAAGCAGTTTAGACATGTTGACTCAAGGGGCTGCATATCCACGATGGCCACATCTTCACTACTCACGTCCACATTGCGCCAGCTGCCTTACTTAGGCTCGCGCCGAGTGGGTCTCCCGCCGATCGCTGCATTGGTCCGCCGCAGAACGAGGCGTGCGCTGGCTTTCACACTTCGCTCCTGCTCAGAGCTTCTCTTCTCTCTCCTCCACACACATCATTACTACACCCAACGACCATACTCTTCCCTGATTGACCGTCAGACACCACTGCTCGCCGCACTGTGAGGAGCGAGCAGTGTTGCTCTGTTGTTTCATCGCTACCCGCCGGCTGTTCCCACCATACGAAGCGCCCAATCGGCAGGGAGCCGCAGTCACGCTGGCTGCTTTCATTCTTTCATCTTACTTCGTCACGCTTGATCTTCTTGTTCTGAAAGCCGCTGGAGAAGGGCATGAATATGGCAAATGAAGCATTAAAAAGCATTGAATCTTTGTTGGAATGCGTTCCATGTTGGATAGCGGATCTGGAGGCCATCTTGAAGAGTGCTGCAGACACACAAGAAGAGATACTATTCACATGTCAACCCGCTGAACAAGCAATTGCTATACCCAAGAGAGATTCGAAAACATTCTCTTTGAAGTCGAAGCGATCCAGCAAAGCCGGACAACAGGACGATCAGCTGCGGCGCCCGCAACTACCACATGCGACGAACTCCGACGCTCTGAGATTATCTCAAAGGAAGCGGAAGACAGCATCTGCATGCTCCGGCTCAGGTCCTCCCAAATTTCGTAACAAAGCGTCCGCGGTGGTCTTCTACGATGGGGACACGCAGAAGAAGTTTGAAAAGTTGGTTCGCGCGGTGGGAACATGTAGAAATGCCATCCGCAAGGGCAAGATCAGCGCTCAAGTGGACGTACTGTCTCGAGCAAGCTCCAGCAGCAGCGAAGCCAGTAGCAACAGCGGAGAGGACGAAGGCGAATACAACCCGATAGGCGCTGGACTCATTTACAGGTGCAGTCGCGCTCGTGCTCGTGCACCTCCGTCCCCTCGAGACGATAGCTCGGAAGCTTTTGATAAGGTCGACAGTCAGCTTGAGAAAGCTCAACTTCTATGCGAGCGTGCTGCACACCAGATGCTCCGCGATGGTGATTGCACTCTGGAGATCACCAATGCCAAGGAACACTTCTCTCAGGCTATGAGCTTGGCTGAGGCTGAGGTTCCAATACGGCGAGAGAAAGCGCAACAAGCGGCCGTCAGACAGAGACGTACTGGTGAACGTCGTTGCCTGGCCGAAGAGGCGGAAAAGAGAGAGCTCGCTGCCGATGTGGCTTGGAATGAGCAAGTTCATAGCATTGCCGTCAACGTTGCCTTTCCAACCCAGCCAAAACTGCAGGTTGACGAACTCGAAGTTGATGACGGCTCTGATGACGATGATGGCGAGCTTGACATTAGTGATCTGCGCTTCGGGACATTCGCTCACGTGCGCAGCACACGGCTGGCGGTGCATTAGCATGGTAACAAGTTTGTCATGGAGTCGCAAGCGCAAGCGGGTGGTTCTCATTCACACGTTCTGCCATCTCATATTTGCGTTCAAGCGGTCGTTTCAATGTTTTCACATTTCAGCGTGGGCGTTGGGAGGGAGCATCAACCACGCAGCATTAGCAGGGTGCTGTCGGGATGGAGGCCTGGACTGGAAGTGAAGTGCTGGACATGGATACGGACACAGGTTGGATGATGTGCACGCTCGTTGCCATCTCGGTCAGATGATCTACTTAGTCGTTATGATTAAATGCATCTCATTGGGTTCTGGTCGGCTTTGCCGTCACTGCCTTCCCTTTGGTGTGCTCGACGCGTTCCTTCCGTTCGCCTCGCGATGGAGGAAGTTGCCTGCTGGATGGCAAGCGACACCTTGTTTCTGTTCCACTGCGAATTCTCTCGGCTCCGTATCTCCCTCTATCTCGTCAGCTGCTTGCGCCGAAACAATGGGCCAGAAGAGGACAAGGGGTCCGCTTCGTGGACTTAACCAGGCTCTGATTCTCGACGAAGGAGCCGCCGAAGCCACAATCGAAGACCTTGGGCAGGAAGAAGATGTGCCTCGTGCGACTCAGAGCAGACACGCTACTCGCGCCTCCCGTGGAATTGTCAATCAACATGCCAATTACTCCTCCAAGTTTCATCCTATAGACGTTTACACTCGGCCAAACAGCAAGGAGGTCCTTCGTCGAACATCCAAGTCCGTGTCACTTGCCACTCCGGAACATGACGACGATTCGAGTCTGCCTTCATCGCCTCCTTTGACTGACGCAGAGAGCGATCCTGACCCTGACATCTCGCAAGGAGAACTGGATCATCCCGTATTGACGCCGCGCATCCCAGATCCCAGAGCTGTTCGCCATTCCTCTCGGAAAGAGGCACAAAAGGCAGTCATCTACTCCGCCAAGCATCATCCACAGGACTTTGGATTGCCTGGCTACAAGCACAGAGCCATCATTAACCCGCGAAAGCGCAGTACGCCGACAGCAACCGAAGAGCAATACGACAGCCCAGACGAGATTCCCGCCAAGGCTCCTCAGCCTGCTCGGAAGAAGCTCAGGAGTTTGGGTCGCGGTCACGCAAAGCCTCAAGCAGAAGCTCCTCGAAAGCGTGGAAGGCCGTCAAAGGGCAGGAAGGTCAAGACTCAACCGAGAACGGCCCCGGCGTCTTCTGATATCGATGAACTCGTTAACAACGCTATCGCGGCTTCGCAACCTCAGCGATGTCTGCTGGTGCTTGACAGTGAAAGCAGCTCGGAGGAGAGCGTGATATCAGCGAGAGTTGCTGAATTTCGCGACCATGTCAATTCGTCCATGTTACAGCCAGAGCCAAGCAGCGTCACGCTTGTCTCAGATCAGAGCGTTATACCAGAATACATCAGAGACCGCATGGCACTCCGGGGCTACGACGTGGACTCTGTAACCAACGCCACGCTACTTAATGAGATGCTCATGGACTACCGACGCCATCCAGGTGCTGAGCTTGAAATCTATAAGCCGTATGAGGCGGCAGCCCACATGCCAGGTCAATTCGAGGAAGAGATGGCTATCACTGAGAGCTCGGTATGTATTGCTTCGCATTTTGTCGATGTTCCACCGGTCTAACGTACAGCAGCAGCACGTAGCCTCGTCCGATGTGATTCATATGCTTCTCACGCAACGACAGCCCGCCGATGATGAAGATCTGCCTTCCACAGCAAGACCATCTCCAGGCAGGAGTTCCTAGAAAGCAGCTCAGAGGTGTCGGATGTTGTTTGACACACCGTCTGGACGCAGAGCATGGAAGTCAGGAGATTGTATCGCGAATCGCCTCACCGGCAAGTTTTGCAAGGGGATGTTGCTCAAGCATTTTTACTCACTCTAGATGTTTTCGGAAGCAAGCAGTTTCTCCTCAAATCACTGTAGATCTGGGATGGAAAGTTCGGAACAAATGAAGCTCGGTGTCAAATTTTGCGTGAAAGCAGTATCGAGCCTTTATGGTGGGAATGTCTGCTCACGTTTTAGGAAACAGTCTGGTCCACACGAAGCTCTACCTTGTCACATTATTAGAGCAATCAGGTGACAGCCCACATCGAACCATCGCTCGTCCTACAGCATTCTACTGCATTGCGTGATATGATCATCATCACCAACTGAAGCCTTCGTGCCACGTGCTCGTAAAGTCGGAGTAACAGTCGAGAGTTCTAAACGATTTGCTCGGGATAGCGGTTTCGCAATTCCACCGAGCCGGACTGGACGGACGGTTGTTGGTGTGGTACTCCAAGAGACAAAAAGTCTTGGCTGGCGTTTTTTCGTGCTGACCCCCAAGACTTGATCAACACCTGTTTCCTACAATGCGGCACACCTCCGGCTTGTTATAGATGCTTCCAAGACGCAGATATACAGCCTAAACAGCCGTTCCTTTCTGCCGCAATTTCATCGTATCGCCATTCATCACACGATTAATTGTGCGATTTCCGAAGATGCCGAACTTGCCAAGACCCTGCCAGGCATCTCTGGACTTGGCAGCCAAGTCCGCATCTTTGCCAGCAAGTCAAATGCGAGGGATGATATGCATGAACGTGGGTGCCATGCGCCGTCGTGATGGAAAGTGCAAATATTTGCCCGTGGGGTTCCTTCGAGCACAGCCCGGAGAACTGCCTACATTGTTTATCAAGCACCTTGGCAACGGATCTATGACTGCACTGAGTGTATACGAAGGCTGATCCGGGGCTTTGATGGTCTCCCTTTGTGCGAAGACGATTCTTTGTTTGGCCAATGGCCACGCGAGCTGCCAGCTAGGTAGAAGGATCAAATCAACCCCGGAACATCTGGGGGATCTGGCTCGCTTCGAGATGGAGCGATAAAGACTGATGATAACACTGCCGCTGCCTCTGCTTTGCGGCACGACCTTGTCCCTGGCTCGCTGTCGCCGCTTTCTTTCGCTTTTTCGTCTCGCCGTACAACAACGTGCGATAAGCGACGCAATGGCTGAGATCAAGGAAGAGCAACCTCAAGAGAAGGAGTATGTGATCAGCTCGACAGAGTCTCTTCAAGATGAGAAAGTCAAGGCCGCCCTGGCCGCAATCCCAGATCCGGATGTTGGCAAGACAGACGAAGAGCGCAAAGCTCTTGTAAGTGTCGTCTGCAAAACATCACAAGAAATGCTAAGACTAAAGACCCAAACTCTAGGACAAAGCTCTTATGAGAAAGGTCGACCTGTGGCTCATACCATGGTTGTGCTTGCTATACCTGCTTTCCTTCCTCGATCGAACGAATATCGGCAATGCTCGTCTGGCTGGGATGGAAAAGGACTTGGATATGGAAGGACATGATTACAATAATACTCTGGTATTTCGCACTTCCCGCATGCTTCATATGCGCACATACTTACCACGCTCCAGACCATCTTCTTCATTTCCTACGCCCTGGCCGAGCCAGTCACGAACGTCTTGCTCAAGCGCCTCACACCGCGCGTCTTCTTCACCGGCATCATCTTGATATGGGGCGCAATCATGACTTTGATGGGTGTAGTCCACAACTACGAAGGACTCCTCGCAGCCAGATGGTTCTTGGGATTGGCGGAAGCCGGATTGTTTCCCGGAGTCAACTACTACCTCTCCTGCTGGTACAAGCGAAGCGAGCTCGGACTCAGAGCAGCCACCTTCTTCTCCGCTGCCGCTTTAGCAGGTTCTTTCGGCGGACTGCTCGCCGCAGCTATTGCCTCAATGGACGGGATCGGAGGGAAAGATGGTTGGGCTTGGATCTTCATCATCGAAGGTCTCGCGACTGTGTGAGTAAACCATTCCCGCCTAGTAGCCCTCGTGTCTCACTCTCAAGCGGCAAGCGCGTCGCCTTGTTGCGAATCGCGTTTCCTCGCTTAGATCATCTGCTAACGCTTCTACCCTTTTCAGATTTGTTGGAGGTTTCTGTTGGTTCATGGTCTTCGACTGGCCCGATACGGCACGCTTCCTAACACCTGACGAACGACTACGTGTTCGCCGCCGACTCGCCGAAGACAAGCAATCTAGCACCGGAGAAGAGTACGACAAACGCCACATCATCGCCGCATTGAAAGACTGGAAATGCTGGGGCTACGCTCTGATCTACATGGGAAATCTCTGCCCACTATACGCCTTCTCCCTCTTCCTCCCAACAATCCTAGCCGGTATGGGCTACGCAGGCACACACGCCCAACTCCTCAGCGTCCCACCCTACGCCGTCGCAGCCACAATGACAATCTTCATCGGCTGGGTCGCCGACCGCACCAAACAGCGCGGAATCTGCAACATGTTCACCGTCACCATGGCCATCATCGGCTTCAGCATGCTCATCGGCACCCAAAACCCTCACATCCAATACGCCGGCACCTTCCTCGGCGCCGCAGGCATCTACCCCACCATCCCCAACACCCTCACCTGGGCCTCCAACAACCTCGAAGGCGTCTACAAACGCGGCGTCATCATCGGAATCGTCGTCGGATGGGGAAATCTCAACGGTGTGGTTTCGAGTAATATATATTTGAAGCAGCAGAAGCCGAAATATTATACTGGGCATGGCACGGTGCTGGGGTATTTGGTTGTGTGTTTGCTGGGCGGGACGGTGTTTATGTATACGATGTTGGCGAGGGAGAATCGACTCAGGAAGTCCGGGAAGAGGGATGGCATGCATGATGGTATGACGCCGGATCAGATTTGGGTTGCGGGTGATAAGAGGCCGGATTTTATTTATACTTTGTAACTAGAGAGGATGAGAGGAAGGAAGGTGTAGTGGGATGGATGGATGGATAGGACGAGACTATCTACTCATCTACTATATAGAACAATGGGGATTTTCTCCTCTTAAGCGTATACCGACGGCAAGTATTAAGATAAGGTCCTCGAAAATACAATCTTAGAGTACCTAGCAGTATATTAGGCTAGCTTATAGGTATCTAGTGTGCAATATATCGATATTCGAGCGCATCTCCCTTTCTATATAACGGGAAGTAAAAAAGATTCGTAGGAAGCGTACGACTTGGGGTAAAGGAAAATTAGCTATCCGGTCGAGTTGTAGCGTAGCTTGCAGGAGAAAATCGTAGGAATGGATTTGGAAGATTTAATGTTGCGAATACGGAACCGGAATTGTAAATCTTATCGAAGAGGTCTTATAGAAGATTGAAGAGTTTTTATCTTAAGGATATTGCTCGTATCGTATATAGTGCTATTCGCAGGCCGTAGCGTAGTTCGTTCTATCGATAGGAGAAGTCTATAGCAGAATGATTAAGTGAAATTGATCACGAAAGAAGAAATTTTCGATCCCAAAAAAAAAGATGATCTCGCTGCTATGGACACCGACAAACGTTCTAGCCACCCAAATGTTTACAGATCCCACACTTGGAGTACAGTAGGCTAGTACCCAACAAATCGATCATATCCAGCCGTCCAAATCCCCAGGGGTCCACTACCTCACTCACACCCATCCTCCCCTCCCTTCCTCAATCAAGCAATATCAACAAACCGATGCGGAACCACGTTCATAACCGCGAATTTCACCTCAAACTGCACCTCCCGAATCCTGTAACACGTCAAAGCATCCGGGAGCATGCGACTCAATGCCGTGTAATCATCGCCAAGCGCACGGAGAAGTTTCTGCGAAAGTAACGTGTAGGCGAGAAGGACGCCGAAACGATCGGGAGGAGGACCTCGACTTCCTCTCGATCTGCACGCACACGGACCGTATTGTTGCTTGATTCTCCTCAAAACTTGGCGTACGAGGAGGAATCGGGGATGGAAGATTTGGAGCGTGGAGGCTCTGTTTGGGGGTTCGAGATGGTATCTGTCGAGGGGGAGGTCTGGGATGAGGGGTTCGAGGTTGAAGAACATGTCTCGAAGTCTCAAGGTTGGAAGTGGGTGGCGTCGGGTGGAATGGATTCGGATGTTGGCTTGGTTGATCAGGAGACGATGGTGGGTTGGAAGAGATCGCAGCCATTGGAAGAGGGTTGTGAGATTCTGGCAAGAAAGCCAGAAGATGTGGTTTCCGTAATACCATTCTGCGAATGTGTCGCGAGTGGTCTTGTCGACTGTGAGTTGCATTGGTGGTCTCAACTCCGGCGTGACGTTGATGAACTGATTCGTGTCTTGAGAATCGAATACCTCAGCCCCGATCCGACCGAAGAGCTCATAAGGGAGGTTGAAGAGCCTCTGCTTGAGCCCGGTCATTCTTTCACTGTTGCTTGGCGCTAAGCACCTGATTCTCGAATTCTGGGATCCAATTTGGATAGCAAGGTGTACATATTGAGTCGAACCTTCGTTTCCGGATCGACGCAATTCTCGGTTCGCAAGCGACATAGTTTCTCGTGTTGTCGTTGTTGCTGAAAATTTTCCGAGTGAGTATTCTGCGGTCGCTGCCATCTCTTGTACGGAGCCGCATCCAGATTGTCCTCAGGTCTCCACACTCGCAGGAAACACAGCGTCCACCAAAGCCGTCCAAATGGTAGTTAGTGATAACAAAGCCCTCCCCTCTCCTCCCTCCCTCACACAAATATCATCCTACCCACCAAAACCCTCAACCCAACCGCATCCAAACAAGCAGAAAGCGGATCACTCGACCAATACGGTCTCTCCGCAATAAAAATCCTAGCCTTCAAAACACCAGTCCTCAACCGAATCCCCTTCCTCGCAAGCTCATCTCTCAAATTCTCCAATTTCGTATCTTCATCCAAACCAGGGATTTCGCAAGAAGCAGTTCTCCAAGACGTCGCAGCGGTACAAGTCTCCGACGTATCGTAGCGGAGCTCCGGGATGACATGGACAAGTTTTGGGGTGAGGGTGGTGAGGCGACGAATGCAGACTTCTGGGTCGGTGAATTGGAGGATTGTGTTGGCGTAGAAAATGCCGCTGGCTTCGGTGCGGATTTGAGGGGAGGTTGTCAGGAGGGGAGGTTCCATGGATTCTTTGCTGAGGTGGAATACGTTGGGCGGTTGCCTGCTGGCTGCGAGAGTCTCGTGATAGATACGGTTTCGTAACTCGCCTGGGAGGTTGAGCAATGGCGAGGTCTTTTGAATCTTGTTGACATCACTGTCGATCTTGTGTGTGCCCATTTTGAGGTAGGGCCGTGAATTTGAGAAGTCCTTCGCTGAGCAGGGAAAGCTATATTTCTGGTCACTACGTTCTTTGACAAAGGGAAGTAACTGCTTGCGTGGAACCAGCCATCTTTGAGAAGCTCGCGTGCCGCTTTGTATATATCGCGCACCTTTGCGATGACGTTGTCCTGAAAGAATAAAGATTGTCCAGGATGTGCTTGTAAGTGGATCAATGTGTGCGAGGAAATAGTAGTAGAAGGACCTTTCGATACAGCGTGAAGTTGGTCACATTGGCTTGCACGTGCTGTCAATGCTTTCATCCTCACCGCAACACTCAATCTTTTTTCCCGGTGAGACCTTGACCATGCGATGGAGGATCCATGACTGGATGAAGACAATCGATGGAAACCCTGCATGCAGCACTATCGTCATTTCTCATCAAGAGCTCCGTAGGGCACATACACACACGTCTTTCTGAAGTCACAGTCCGATGAAATTCGCGCGTGTCGAAGGGCAAGCCTATACGGAGATCAAAGGTGTATTTGTCCAAGGTTGCCGCTCATTCTGCAGTGTCAGGCTGCCTGCCATCAACCATGGCAGCAATAAGTGCTATTCTGCTCTTCTCAACAAGTGCAGTCCGATGGGCGCTTGGAGTTTGATGCGGTATACGGGCTATGACCAGGCTTGCGGTACAAGAAGGCGCTTTCTGGCGCTTCCTTCGGCCTAGATACAGCAAGATCTGTTTGGAATTCGAATTTAGCCAACCAGTACATAGTCAAGATTTCGAACAGGGAAGGTTTGCAATTTGATCTCCGGTCGATTTCCAGTATGCAGTTGAGAAATTGTAAGCAGTTTACTGCTGATCCCCCGCCATTGACGCACTTGAATGCACCAAGTGGGAGAGCTCCAAGACCGAGCTCACTTGCGTATGTAATCCCGGTCCGGCATCTTCTGTTTAAGCCGATGCATTGTTAAGCAGCTCTTGAACGTTTTCCTATAGAAGAAGCGTGTCTTGTGTCCCCTACTCCCAACCAGATCATCATCATTGCTCTATTTCAAGCTCTTGTGCAGCCCATTCAAAATGGCATCAAAACCGATCGCAATCGTGGCCGGCGTTGGCCCAGGTACGGGAGCATCTGTCGCTCGTCGATTCGCAGCCGCATACCCTACTGTACTGCTCGCACGCAATCCTGAGAACTACGAATCGCTCGCGAAAGAAATCAACAGCAATGGCGGCAAGGCAATCGGCATCTCGACGGATGTGGGGAGTCAGGAAAGCATTGGCAACGCTTTCAAGCAGATTGAGCAAGAATTTGGCAATGCTCCAATCGCTGCAGCAATTTTCAATGCTGGAGGAAAGTTCGTGAGGAAATCGATATTGGACATGAGCGTGGAAGAATTTGGGGCTGGTCACGAAGTCAGCGTGTAAGTTGCATTCTGTGTTACCTTGGAGATGCAGCGCTGACAACGGCTCAGCAAGGGTGCATTCATGTTCGCCCAGCACACTCTCCCCGGCCTCTTGAGGCATGCTGAGGATAAGAACGCCAAGTATCCTCCCACCTTGATCTTTACTGGAGCTACGGCCTCGGTCAAAGCCAATGCATTGATGTCCAGCTTCGCTTCCGCCAAGTTCGCCATGCGCGCGCTCTCCTTCTCGATCGCCAAAGAGTTCGCGCCGAAGGGTGTACACGTGGCCCATGCGATCATCGACGGTGTGATTGATATTCCGAGGACGAAGGAGTGGCTGAAAGACATGCCACCCGAGGCAAAGATTGGCGCAGACGATATTGCCGAGTCGTACTGGAATCTGCATACGCAAAGCAAGAGGTGCTTCACGAATGAGATCGACATCCGGCCAATGCTGGAGAAGTGGTAGATACGAGATCAGAGCGTTACTGCTCTTGCAATCAGAAGAGAAACGTTGGGATGCTATCCTCAATCTCCTTTCGCTTTTCAGCTTCCTTCTTGACATGATCAGACTTCTCAGCCTTGATCTGTACTATTCGTGATGGCTCAGGTGGCTCATCATCGAAGAATGATCTGTATTTCTTCTCTCTCTTGATAGGTCTGATGGGAGAGATTTGCTCTTCGACTTTGACACGAATTGGTGAATCTGCTGCACGAGCTGGCGACCTGGGATTGAACAGCATCGTTGACTTGTGTGCAGGTGATGCGCGGTCGGAGAATTGGTTGCGATTCGTCGTCACTCTCGGCGGTGAATCTGGATCAACTGTGTCGGACTTCTCAATCGAAGGAAACGTCGTCTCCGAAGCAGGATTGTTGGCCCACTGGTTGTAAGCCCGCTGCATCTTGGTAGGCTTGATGTCCAGATCGTCACTGTCGTCCGTGTCTTCGTCTTCGTCTTCGTCTGCCTCCTCAATAGGCGCAAAAGTTGACGCTGTCCGCAATCGCGTGCTGCTTTCAACCGCCAGGGCATCTCTCGTTCTGATCGGCATCGCAGGGCTCTGCAGGGAGTTATTCGATCTTGCCTGGGCCAACTTTGCCAAATTTTGACCAGCATTCACCTGACCACCCGTCATGAGCCCAGCGAGCTGCGGATCCTCCATGTATTCATCCTCGTCACTGCTATCTCCCGCGCGCCTGCGTAACTCAGCCTGTTTCTTCCTAGTCTCCTCCGCCTCCAACCTCAAGCGCAATTGTTTACTCTGCTGAGTCCGACCATTATCGGTACCTCTTTGAAGATTTGCCAGCATTTCGCGCCCACGAGATTTGTGCTTCTTCTTAAGTAGCTCATACTCCTCGTAGTGTAGATGGCGTGTGAAGAGTTGCGCAGTGGAGTAGAACTCGTCCTCGACCATCATGAACATGTCGTCGCCCGCCAAGCCCTCGTTCATGTACACTGTTGGAGGCGGCCCACGAGCGAGAGGCGGAGGCGAGGACGACGGTTCACGAACAGCCTGTTTCCTCTTCTTGGGCTTTGGCTCATCGTCGAGGTCGTCCAGATCGGAGTTGACAAGATCGCTCGGCGAGGCTGTTCGTTTCCGTCTTGGAGCTGCGGGCGCCGATGCGACCTTCTTTTTCGCACCCTCTCCCAGCCATGGCAATGTTCGAGGCATCTTATCTTTAGCCTGATCGTATCTTCAGCCAAAGTTGTCTCGATCGCGCTTCCAACGCGTATGGTTCAAGTCGCACGTCTGCGTCGAGAGCATTGCGGAAGTGACTGGGAGTAGGAATGTTTCACTTATTAGAACAAACAACAGAGTCCCGTATAGTGAAGCAAGAGAAGTGAGATCCGCTGCGACAAGATCAAAGGAAAGCGAAGTCCCGGTTGCTCGCTCGCCCGCCAAGCATTCTGACCTCCAGGCAGACCCGCGCCGCGACTTCGTCCTGGACATTGATGGTCATCGAGCTTTCAATCTCTTGACCGAACAAAATGCTAGCACTAGCAGTCTCGGCAGAACTCGAAGGGTACCTTCACCGAAACCGCAATTCACAAAACAAGGCACTGACATCTTGCAGTGTCACCGACCTCCAGCCTGAAGACACCGAAAACACACCTTTCTACTACACATTCAAGGTTCAGTGCACATCATGTCGAGAGATACATCCAAATTGGGTGTCCGTGAGCAGATTCGTACGCCAGAAAATTTCGAAAGCTCTTTCGGAGTGGACGTGTGCTGACTTGAAACTATACAGGAGCAAAATGAGCAATCCGGCAGTAGAGGCGAGGCGAATTTCGTGTGGAAATGCAAGAATTGTAAGGTTCGATTTCGACCTCCTTATTACAAAAGAGTCTCCTGATAACCATACATTAACTCTTCGTTCTAGCGTGAGCACTCGGCCAACATCGTAGACAAGCCAAAATCATACGCCCAGCAAAGTCCCGCCAAGCTTCAGAATATCTTGACGTTTGACTGTCGAGGGTTGGAATTTGTGGAATTCAAGGCTGATGTGAGTGTGAAGATGCCGACCGATATCACAACGCTTCGACGGTCTGTTTCTGACTTCGGCATAGGGAGAATGGAATGCTATAGGAATCGAATCAGGCACCAAGTTCTCTGGGATAGATTTGACCGAAGGCGAATGGTTTGATTATGACGAGAAAGCTGGCGAGGAAGTCAGCATCAAGGATATTAAATGGGAGATTCGAAGGGCTTGATGAGAGGTCGCTCCAACTCCAGAATCGAGTCGGGATTTGGGCTGCGCGTCCGGAAGAGTAGCACAGTATGTCAATGAAATCCTGCCTCGCGACATCATCAGGCTGCAAAATACACAGCCCAGAACCTCGCGGCCTGGAACCCAGTAGACTACCTGCTTATACATCAATCAAGGCACTGACGCTCCCCAATACAAAATGTGATCTCTATTCTAACCTCCCAAGAAAAGAATCACAATCCCATCCATAAACTCCTTATCCCGCCCAAAACCTCCTCCAAATCCAATCCCAAAACGCACAGCAACAAGAGTAATATGCATCACTCATGTACTACATCCTCCTTCTCATCACTACGCAAACCCACCCCATTCTTCTCAAAACAACCACATAAAACCTCACAATGTGTTTCACCTCATCAACGCATACATTCTAAGCCGCGGACTCGCCCATCAAAATCACATTATTACACACGTTCAAAATTCTAAGCTTTCAGAAACAAAAGGGCAAGTGTAAAAGGAATTGAAAGTAGATCTTTGGGCTGATGCTATTTACCGCAACATTGGCGGCGATATATAGAGGGAGGAGTTGAGGCGGAGGCAATTTTTTCTTTTCTGGATTCGGGATGATTAGAGTTTGAGCGAATCAAGGAGGGAGTTGAAGAAGAAGAAGAAGAAGATAGGGTATAAAAAGTAATGTGGAATGGTTTCTCAGTTCGGTGCTATCATAGGGCTAATGTCATTGCCGTGGTGTCTGGCGCCATAGGAATTGCTCGATGGGATGCGAGCTTGCTTGCTAGAAGAGCTTTGGAAATTGGTGGTCATCATGCCGCAACTGCATATTACCGATCTATGTAAATTCCCTGCTAGAGCTTTTCAAGCAAGCATTTCCGCAAACTGGAACGATTGAGGTTGACGGATGATGAGAAATTTGCAGGGACAGATATGTCGGCTATTGTAAAAGCGGTCTTCCAGACGGATATGTACCTGGTCGAAGAGAAGTCGCAATTGTGAAACATTTTCGAGCATGGGTGGTTCGAAGGCCGTGGGATGGGGGTCAGATATGGAGCTATGGAGCTCAAGTGGGAGGCACACGTACCTACTGGTCCGATCTCTTGGGAGCAGCATGGGTATCCGTTCGTCGAGCAGATGCTGGTAAGTTTACAGCTCGACGACATTGGTAGCTTTGTACTCTGGATCGGGGTGACGAAGAACTGCTCTCGGATCTGGACGATGGGCAGTCAGTGTTCTTGTGAAGTTGTGAACTGATGTACGCTAGCGTAGTGAGCTAGCCAAAGCTCCTGTCGACATCGAACGACGCTACAACAAATCACTTCGTTCGATCGAAACAGCACTCGGGTCCGACATCGCGGTCTAAACGCTTGATCGATGTGCCAGTCTCGGGATCACGGAAAGTCCGTCAATCATGTTAGAGATGTGAAGTGGTGGTGGTGATGAGGATGCTGTGATTCTGCCAAGTCTCTGGTCTAGGGTGGCTTGAAAGGAGATGAAAGTATGGCTGCGACCCAAGAAGCAGATCATAGGGTTTCGGAAGGTAATGTCTAATTCTGGAGGAAATGAGCCAATCGCCTTGGGAGAAATTCAAGTATGCTATGGGTTTACCATGTCTGTTGAGTCGAGCTGTCCAATGGGGACTCGTCCGGATACACCCTTTCTTCTGAAACTGGGCGCGGTGGTGGCTGCATTCGCGTCGACAGGCGATAAGCGAGCTCAGAGTTGTCAAATCGGAAGTATAAAGGTCATGCCGGTACTGATGTACAGATGCATGCGTCGTGCGATATGCATGGGCGCCAGCAAGGTCCATCGGTCCGCAGGAGTGATTGGTGAAAGAAGGCAGAAGAATGCGGGATGCTTGGGCTGCTGAACCTACAGCAGCTCAGTGGAGTGAAACCCGGTCGAAGCTCGCAGCTCCAGTCCAGTCTGACCCATGTCGACCCGATTCGCATGCATGGGCGGTCAGCTGACTTGGGAGCGTCTTCATCTACTAGAATTGAGGCTTTTCTTTTCTCTCCGATAAGACGTAGTTTAAAAGGGAAGGCGAGATGCAATTTATCCCGGCTGCCATCTGGTCTGCGCGAGTGAGGCGGAGGACCAAGTGATCGACGTATTTTGGGCCGTTGTTGGCATCGATGGCGTCGGCAGCCATGGCCCATTATTGGGGGTTTGGGACCTGCAAGCTGCAGCACAGCTAGCATGGAAGAGCACGAAGAAGTGCAGTAGCTTCCATGCGCCGAAGTCGTTTGTCCTCATTCGGTGAAGAAGAAGAAGAAGAGAAGCATGCATGTTGTCGGACATGCCTACCTCGACCGCGTGCGCAGCGGCCAGAGAGGCCACGTATATCGCAGCGTGAGCATGTTTGTTCATCAGCAACTCGGGTTGTTATGATGAGTCGGGGATGTTGGGACTGCGAAGGAGCGTGGTTGGAATGGGGCGGGAGGATGCAAGGCAAGGCAGTACCAAACGAGCAACGCATGAACATCAGGAATCCTCCATGGTAGTGTCGTAGGCAGAGGCACAGGCAGAATCGGCTCGCCTCGCCTCGGACAATATAGGGAGGATGGCACAAATTCGATGGTTTGAGCACGAAAGGGAGATGATGACTAACTTAGGCCTAGACAAGTGTTTCCTGCGCGCCCTGTGCTTTCATGTGATGGTGATTGGAGATGAATATTGGGAGTGGAGCTTTAGAAGGGCACTAGAAGCGAGGTTCGCTAGGTATTCTACCATACTACATATTATCTCCTGCATGCTCTGCGTCTACCACGGCGCTATCATCGGACATCGGGATGGTAAGCAGTATAACTCCGTAGCAAGAGAGATGTTGCAATACGGATTGGAACATGATGATGGCATGGGAGGCGCGAGCAGAGCAGACTCCGCAGAGAGAGCAGAGACTCCAGAGGACCAGATGGCAGAGAGCGTGGGCAGACAAGGAAGGCAGTTCTACGAGAGTTTTAAAGGGCCAAAGCTACTGTAGACCCAGTGGCCTGCCGCCGCCGCAGTGATTTTGCATTCCGCTAGCAGTGCTAACTTATACCTGTGCCTGCGGGCCTGTGCCTGTCCTGCCCTGCGCCTGCGCCTGCGCCTGCGCCTGCTGCCAACACAACAATTCTATCGTACAGCCAGATCGGACGTGATCACCTCCCGTTTCCCAGGACCGTGTGCACGTTGGCTTTGCGTTCTTGCTGTGCGTGCTGGAGCCATCTGCTGCCCGTCCGGAGATCGTCACAAACAGCTTCCCAGCGCCCGTGGCCGTGGACGTCTGCACGGCCCAGTCTGCGAACGCTCCCGCCCTCGCCCTGTCCTGCCCTGCCCTGCCCTGCCCTGACCGCCGACACGCTGCATCCGTGCGACCTCCTACCCACCCTCAGCCATCAACATATTTGCCGGAGCCAGACCACCTCGCTGCCACCGTCAGTGCCATTGCCATTGCCATTGCCATTGCCATTGCCATTGCCTTGCCACTGCCACTGCCACTGCCATTGTCGCCGCCGCCGCTGCAGGAGGACACGGCCATTGCTGTCGCCACACGCGTGCACCGCACCGCACCGCACCGCGCAACATCTTGTTCTATATTCTATAGCCCCCGACGCCGCCGCCACTCGACTCGCGTTCCCACGACTCAAGCTCAGGCTCCCGTTCCACCCCTTTGCCCTCCTCCGCAATAATGGCCTCCAAAGTGAGCTTCACCCTCAGTCCCTGCACCTCCTGTACAACAACCACGCACTGCCGAAACAACAATCGCAAGCTTCGCAAGCTAACCCAACATGTCTTCACAGTTCCTGCGGGAATACAAGCTGGTCGTCGTCGGCGGTGGTGGTGTGGGAAAGTCCTGCATAACCATCCAGCTCATCCAGTCTCACTTCGTCGACGAGTACGATCCCACCATCGAAGGTACGCACCCCTATATCCCAATAATGCCGCGCTGCACCGCGCACTACATGTGCAAACCTAAACGCACAGAACTAATGTCGCACCTGCCGTACAGACTCTTATCGCAAGCAATGCGTCATCGACGATGAGGTCGCCTTATTAGACGTGCTCGACACCGCCGGCCAGGAAGAATACTCGGCCATGCGCGAACAGTACATGCGCACAGGAGAGGGCTTTCTGTTGGTCTACAGCATAACATCACGGCAAAGCTTTGAGGAGATCGTCACATTCCAGCAGCAAATATTGAGAGTCAAGGACAAGGACTACTTTCCCATAATCGTCGTGGGTAACAAATGCGATCTGGAGCACGAGCGACAAGTGAGCACAGAAGGTGGGTCTCCTGATATATATCTTCTTTTTCCGCGCTACACGTGCTGCCCACGCGCCTGCTTGGCCACGTTCGCCCACGATCGCGACGCATCAACCTTGGACAGGCGCTGACATAGATTCGCATTGTAGAGGGCAGACAGCTCGCTCGATCATTCGGCTGCAAATTCATCGAGACCTCGGCCAAGTCCCGCATCAATGTCGACAACGCCTTCTACGACATCGTGCGCGAAATCAGGAAATATAACAAGGACATGTCAGGATATCCTGGTGGCGGAAGCTCGGGCAGCAGACCCAAGGACGAGATGGGCATTGAAGGTGAAGAGCAGGACGCGGGTTGCTGTGCGAAGTGTACAGTAATGTAAGTACGGCACCGCGAACCGGACCACGAAACGCAATAGCAAGCGCCGCGACGACCGTTTCATTGGTGAGAACAGAAGGCGTGGAGGCGAGAGGCCAGAGGCGGAGGCGGAAGGAGTCAAAAGATGCGCTTGTCGCCACCACTAGTACCATTGCATTGGGTACATTCGCATGGCGACTCCAGAACGAAAGCGAGGGCAAGTCATGGCCACTACAGAGGCAGGCAGGAAGTGGCCGCACCTACATCATCAACAACAACGACAAAGAGGGGCGAAAACTTTTCTTTCGCGCTACCAGGCAAGAAGAGCGGAAGGAGATAAGGTATCCGCTAACTACAAAAACTCTTATGCATTTATTTATATCCCTTAACACATGCATGAGATTTTCGAGACACGGAGAGAGAGGAAGAAAAATTGAAAGAGAGATGAGAAAGAACAAATACACGACCTCATCCTCCTTCTCCGACATTATGGGGCGCCGGCGCATCAGAGGCGTAGTGAGAGAGCTAAGGGCGACAATGAACTTGTTCTTTTCACCTCTTATTTCATTTCATGTGTATTGCCCTCCTTGTTCGATTTTTCTTCGTTGCCAGGTCGTTTTTTATCTCGCGCGCAGCAGAACATGGCAATCGACGTCTCCCGGCCATGTGAGTGATCTTTTAGAGTGGTTTCAGTTTTGGCATTTGAAGATTGGAAGGCAGCTCTGTTGCATTGATTGATTGATTCGAAACGTATTTTTCTCGCATATATGTCTACCGGAGTTTCAGGTTATGCCCGAATCTCGATTCGATCGAACGGCAGGCGCTGTGTATCGTCATGATTTATGATAGAAGTGCTGTTGATATCTCTTGGCGTTCATATGTGTGATGGAAACACGAGTCTACGATCACATCTACCAACTTGCAAGTATGGCTGAAAGTCTGAAAAACTGTATGTATGTATCATCGTAACACATGATGACTCTGCCACTCTACCCTATCCTCCCCTCCTCCTCTCACTATGTATATACCCACCGAACCTCATCATCTATCCACCTTACGAACCCCCCTCTCCCCTCTCCTCTCCTCTCCCATCTCTTCATCTTTCCCCTCCTCCCTAATCCTCCCCACCCTTCAAAATCCCCTCAATCCCCTCCAACTCCTCCGCACTCTCAACCTCCAAAATCCTCCCAGCTTCCGCAGCATTCTTCATCAACTCCTTCGCTCCAGCATACAACATGCGCATTTCACTCGATGTCGTGGCCGGCAGGTAGTTGATCATGATGTAGGGGACGGAGAGGCGGCCGGAGGACTAAACGCAACGTTAGTAATAAGGAAGGGAAGGGGAAGGGGAAGGGAGACGAACGAGTGTGAGTGGGTAACTTAAGAGGATGTATCGTGGCGTGTTATCGGGTAGTTCGTCCTGGAGGTGGTGAATTTTCGTGTAAATTTCCGCGCCAGCTTCGGGTTTTATTTCTAAGGATTTTTTGTCGATTTGGTCTTTTCTTTGGGGGATTTTTCTTTGTTAGGTTTTTTTCTCTCTTGTCTCTCTGTGGGAGGGGAAGGGGGAGGAGGAGGAGGTTTTTTTTTGGAGCGCTTACATATTATTGCTTGGGGATCTTTTGATCGCGATGTTCCGAGGCGGAATTTTCGTAGGGCGTCTTTGGTTTCTTGGGAGAAGGTGTAGAGGCGGGATTCGGAGGACTGCGTGGGTAGGGTTGGCTTGTTAGAGAGGTGCGTGTTCATGTGGTTGGAAGTGGGAATGGTTCATGCGATGCAGATGCAGCTTACCATCGTGTTCGTGCGTGAGGTGAGGTGAGGTGTGGTATGGGGCTGGGATGTGCTGTGTTGTTGAATGATGTGTGTGATGTGGTGAGGCCCTGGTCGATCTGCAAAGCTCTGGCCCCGCCCCGACTCGGCTTCTTGTGAATGTCGACATTGACCAAGCATCAATGAGGTAACAACAGCAATTCTCCCTTTACTCCTGGCAGTACCTTCTAATGTTCTCTCGCATCAATCAACTCACTCGTCACCTCTCACGCCCATTGCCCAATTACCTCCACAACAGCGCAGCACGACGCTCAGCGATGACGTCAATATCCAGCATGGCAGCAGAACGCAGCAAGAGACAAATACACACGGCGGGATGTATAATTATCGGTGACGAAGTGCTCGGTGGAAAGGTTAGCGAGAATCCCCCCAAGCCTTACATCGTCTCCAGCATTCACAGCAATGCTAAAACCACTCCAACTAAACCAGAAGTGATATGACAGACCGTAGACACCAACTCCGCCTGGTTCGCCAAATACTGTTTCTCTCTCGGCATCGCCCTCAAACGCGTCGAAGTCATCGCCGACGACGAATCCGAAATCATCGAAGCCACTCGTCGAATGTCATCAGAATACGATCTCGTCGTAACATCCGGTGGGATCGGGCCTACCCACGATGACATAACCTACCAATCCATCGCCAAAGCCTTCGACCTCCCTCTCACCCTCCACGACGCCGCGTACGAACGCATGAAAAGACTAAGCAAACCCCACGCCTCGCAGAAAGATTTCAGCTGGGACGTAGATTCCCCCGCGCGAAGGGCGAAATTGAGAATGATCCAATTACCCTACGACAAGAATCTGGCCGACGAAGACCAGGTGATTTTCGTGGCGGAAGACCTTTGGGTCCCGATCAGTGTGGTGAATGGGAATATACACATTTTGCCAGGGATTCCGAAATTGTTTGAGAAGATGTTGACGGGGTTGAAAGCGAGGATATTACCGAGATTGGTGGATCCTGAGGGGAAGGGGGTTTATAGGATTTTGTTTTCGACTCCGTTGGCGGAGAGTGAGGTGGCGGAGTTTTTGACGGAGTTGCAGAGGAAGGTTGATGAGAAGGGAGTGAAGGTGGGGAGTTATCCGAGATGGGGGAAGCCGAGGAATACTGTGACGCTGGTGGGTAAGGATAAGGTGTATATGGATTCGCTTGTGCCTGAGGTGGAGAAGGGTGTGAAGGGGAGACGGGTTGAGAATGAGGAGGATGATGATGATGATGATGATGGTGGAAGTGATAAGGATACATGAGCTGCATAGTGTGTCTCTGTCGATACCAGCAATACAGCCTTTGGCTTGGTTCTGGAGAATCTGCGGCAATGAACAAATGCCTAGATCGTTATCGCTAAGCAATATGCGCGCTCTGTTCGAGACTAGACTACTGTCGACGACGTGCCGGCCACTGCTTGAACTATGTGGCGGAGTTGCACATCGCGGTGGATTCCTCGAATGCTGATCAGGCAGTGCAAGGACGGTCCGAAGCAGATTTCTAGGACTGAGAACCTGCACATCAGGACGAGCAAGCTTCGACCAGGAAAAGACCATGTTTTTCCGATATCAAGGTACGTGCTGTATTCTGTCTCGCGATTATCAGCGGAAAATCGACCTATTCATCTTGACTCCCTCTGGCCCTTCCACGTACACAGGAATTTAATTCCCTGCAGGGCCGGCTTTCTCATAATAGACCTCAACTTCGGTCGTCTGCTGAATTGTCGCTCTCGCACGCTCCTTGCCCTCTTCCTCATCATCCAATGATCTCCTCCTCACTGCTTCAGCTGCACTGACCGGGTCATATTGAATTGTGGTGATTGTTCGCCCGTCGTCTGGTCGCAGGACATCCAACCAGTCATCGTAATCACTCGGAGGTCGGCTTCTATGGCTGGTTGAGGACGCTATATACGTTTTTCCGCTCTGATCCCGACTGTGTATCGATGGTCGCAGTACGTGTGGCCTCCTGGGCGGCAGCGAGGTCCTGAATTTGGAGAGACTGCTAGAGGATGATGACTTCCATAGACTAGACTTGGCGGACGGAGATCGACGAGACTGATGATGATTGTGATATGCGGAAGGTGGAGTCGAGACGATATCTCGTGGCGTAAAGGTCTGTCTGCGATTCCATGACAGTGGCATGAGTCTTATACTAACATGTTTCTTCTTCTGCTGCTGCTGCTGCTGCTGGAAGGCAGGTGTTGATGAATTCTTGGCAAATGTCGACCGTCTGTCCTACGAGTACGGCGCCGGCCTTTCAGGTGTGATTTTTCGAGGCTCGTGAGGATTCCTAAATATTCCTGCTTCCAAGACGATGAAGAGTGGCTTTGCGCAAGGAAGCGTCGCTAGGATGATGCTGAGGTGCATCGTAACTTGCGAAAGGATGTTGACATTTACTCGACTGAGCGTAATGTCTTTGGCATGCAAGGCATAGTATAGATATTTCATGCGAACTAACATTGGCGGTAGGATTCTGGAGAGTCGTCAGTCAACCACACTGCACGTTTACCGGGAGAACCTACAGCAGTCGCTGCACGAAAGCAATGAGGATGCAGATCTTTGGCCTACGTGACATCTGCACATTCCACACGACTTGCTAAGCCGTTGTCACGTTGCTGATCTCCAGTAGTGCGTTGACGATTGAGATTCCCATCCAGATGTTTAGTCGACTGAGACACTTCGCTGGAGGGTTGAAGTACCATGGCCGAGGCAGCTTACACTGGAAGACCAAGAAGCATAGCGATACGAATGCCCACACACCGATGGCACCAGCTATGGAGTAGCCTAGGACGAGATGGTGCCGAGCCCACGCGATTCGGCAGATGAGTAGCGAGATTGAGAGCGTAGCACAGGCCATGGCAGCGATGTAGAACTGGTTGCCAATCCAGAAGAGGATGAATAATAGGTCGAGTTGCTCGGTCGAAAGGTTGTCTTGTGTATGTCCAAGGCCCTCGTGGACGGCGGCAAGAGTAACGCACGACTGCGTCACGCCAAAGATCTGGAAGTATTAGTTGGCAACAAGGTAGCATCACCAATCAATCGCTCGTGACGGGACACATCAAGCGTACTGTCGCAATTCCGCACGCAGTGTCGTCCCATCCGAGCGGTCCGTTGACTTTCAGGCGGAGGAACATGCGGATCAGAAATGTCAAGATCGACTAGATCAGTCCAACCATAGACACCACAACGATGGAGGAAGCGCCGCTAGGAAGGTCGAAGGCCGCCATCGAGGTCGGAGCGGAGAATGAGTGGAAGATGGTCGAACGAGATGCAGGAACACTACATGTACTGAAGCCTGAAGGCCGGGAGACATCTGTCGAGCATGCGCTGCCATGTAATCTCTCTGGGTGTCCGGACAGGAAAGCACAAGCACGATATGGATGGCATCAACCTCCTTTCGCAGCAGGCACATTCGGCGAGTGTCACCGGAACAATCCCGTCACAACATTGGCCCAACCATCATTCAGCTCTCGCAATCGCTATCGCAATATACCTACTCGCCGCTCCGTGCTATGCAATCTCAGCCTGAGCCTGAACCGCCGCTCCTCAAACCGCACTTGGCTCAAAACGATGAGATTCCTCCACCATCACGCGCTGACAGCAATCCCACCACTCCTTCATCCTCAGAGGAGCCCGCACATCCACACAGACGCTTAGCAAGGGCGCTTTCAAATGACTTCCGAAAGAAGGATCCCGTCGACCGCAAGAAACAAATGCAAAGGAACTTTCGACTGATCTCGACCTTGGCCTTCACCGCGCTCGTGACGGGCACGTGGGAAGTCCTGCTATCAGCCAGCTCCATGTCCCTCATCAATGGAGGCACTGCGGGGTTGTTCTGGTCTATGATCTGGTGCTACACCGGACAGCTCTTCATCGTCCTCTCTCTGGCTGAAATGAGCTCCATGGTTCCTGTGGCTGGCGGTCCTTATCAGTGGGTCGCAGAATTCGCCAGCGCCAAATATCGCCGGCTACTGTCCTACTGTGCCGGAACATTGTGCTCCGTCGGATGGCAGGCAAGGTTCACAGCCATGTGTTACATGTCAGCAAGAGTCATCCTGACTCTTTGCTGGGTCACCGATCCTAACTTCGAATCCAAGCAGTGGCAACGGAGTCTTCTAACAATCGGGGTCGCCATCTCTGTATCTTCATTCAACGCCTTCGCCGCTGGCCATCTGTCTCTTGCCGAGGGTCTCTTCGCCATTTGTCATGTCTATGCTTTCATACCGATCATCATCATCCTTTGGACTCTGGCAAACAAGACAACGGCATCCGAGGTCTTTACTCAATTCACCGACAATGGCGGAGGGTGGCCATCGCTCGCAACATCTGTACTGGTAGGACAACTTCCTGCAATGTTCATCGTCTCAGGCAGCGAGGCTGTGGTCCACATTGCTGACGAGGTCGAAGAGCCGGAGTCAATCTTGCCGCGCTGCATTTTTTGGAGCTTCTTAGGGAACATGCCACCGGCCTTGATGTTGCTGATGGCATACTTGTTCAGCATGGGCGACCTTCGACTTGGCATCGATGTCAAACATCCTTTCTTCATCGTCTTCAAGGGCGCTACCGATTCGGAAGAAGCTACACTCGGCTTCACCATCCTGGTTCTTTCGATGCTGATCATGAACTCGGTCAGCACAATGGTGGCCACGTCGAGACACCTGTTGGCATTTGGGTAGGCCATGATGTGCCGCTTGAAGTATGAAAGGTCTTGCTAAGCGTTCTGCAGTCGGGATCAAGCACTGTTTTTTTCACCCTGGATCAGCAAAGTCGACCCAAGGCTCAAAGTACCGCTGAATGCCATCTACCTGACCGTCCTCTTCACGATCGTCGTCTCTTTCGTCACTATCACTGCATCAGCTGCATTCAGCACAATCATTGGCCTGGCGACATCGGCATTAATGTCGAGCTACCTCCTGTCGATTGGTAGCCTCACGCTGAAGCGCCTTCGTGGCGAACAGCTGCCGAATGCATCGTGGTCGTTGGGAAAAGCTGGACTTAGCATCAACTGTCTGGCTTTAGTTTACGCTGCTTGGGCGTTGTTCTGGTCCTTCTGGCCCGAATACTACCACGTCGACAGAGCCAACTTCAATTACAATAGCGTGCTATTCCTGGCATGGATCGCGTTTACGTTGGTTTTGTTTGTTTTGAGGCAGCGAAGGATGCAGCTGCGTCCAACAATGGAAATTTTCCCGAGATGGACGCCGAGATCCACGAGGTAGGGTTTCTTTGGGATACCTATATACGAGATTCAATGGCTTTTGCATACGGCACTGAAAGATTAGGGCGCCGCTTTCTGGTTTGGGATTTTGTGATGTCGGATGTTTTGAGTTGAGTTCGCTGGATGATGTGAGAGATGTCATATATTTGTTCATGGACCAAGCGGGTGATGGCAGCATGGCCAGATCGTGACTGTCTACGTTTTCCCAGGATGGATGGTATATTGCATTGTGAAAGGTAGCATCCTTTACACAAGCTTGGACGCCACATCTGGTAGCCAAGGACATACATACTTGATATTGCTAAGCCATGCCGGAGCTACTGTACGACCGAAAGTACAGTAAAACGATCGGTTGACCTCGGTATATGGAGCATCCGGCTTGGAAGGAAGCGAAAGGTTCGGCTTACCGAGGGAGGGTTGGAAAATTTCAACAAGGCTGTGGCTACCGGAAGTCTCACAGTCTCAGCAACCAGATTGTGGCTCTTGTTCCAATCACAGATCCGAGAGTTTATTTTGGGACACATTCCTCGAATGAAGGTTCGCTGGTTGTAAGACACATGTTCTGCCGGGAAGTGGAGCAGAAACATGTGAAAGGCAAAGGCAGGGCAGAATGGCAAGGGACGGACAGAAGCGCAGCGGTCCCGTTCGTTAGAACAAGCATTTTCTGTGGCACTCGTCTCCTCATCCCTGCAGGCGGCGTTGTGTTCTGAAAGGCAACGCGTATGGTGTGGCTTGGGCGAGCGAGGATATAGTGCGTGCGGAAGAAATTCTCTCTCTGGCGACGGCGACGGTTCCAGGCTGCTGCCGTGCCCTCCCTACCGCAGGCCATTACGAGCAAGCAGGCAGAGTTTTCGTGGTCTTTGCAACGCGAGATGAGGTGCAGTTCTACGGCAGCGGGTGCTTATCGGGAGTATTCTACCAGATCGCCGTTGACGGGAAGCAGCAGACAAAGGACAATCCTCTGCGACGTTCGGAGGTATGCCAAACGTTCTGTTCACGGATTGCCGCTTGTAGCGATCCCTGAACAAAGATAAATCCGAGAATGTACCGGGGTGGATTTCTTCAGCAGCTGTGCTTGGCTGACGGCGTGGGGGCACATGCGGAATACTGGAGCGTGGCTTAGGTAAGACCGCAGACACTGACGATGCCCCATTTCTTGCTGTCCGATGAGTATGAGCCTGAGCCTGAGCCTGAGCCTGCCAGCCACTCCCGTTATCGACACTACCACTACTAACCTGAATGCTGGGAGCTGTCATCGTCGTCGTCATCGCGTAGTCCGATTCGGCGTGGAGCTCTATCAAGCTTTGTATGAGCAGCCAGCGAGACAGTCATTCTTCCTCCATCCTCCGCCCGCGCCCGCGCCCGCGCCCGCGCCCGCGCCCGCACACGCACACCTCGCGCTCTCTCTGCATAGCGACAGCCCACCTTACCTTCACCTCCACCACACGCACACCTCGCACTTCAACTTCGCCCTGTACAGACCTTCCACGCGCGAGTCCGCAGGCCAACCGCCGCGCTGGTGGGAGGCCTTTCCTTTCCCATTGTCGGTCTGCGCGATTGCCTGACTCGCCATACGCACTGCGCCGGAGCCAGCGGATCTCCACGGCAGCGCGCACTTGAGCCTGCCTGCAATCATAATCTGTCTCGCGTCACCGGCTTCCGATCAGGCACGCAACATATCTCTGCCTGGCGTGGACATGGATAAGATCAAGCAAGTCTTCATCCCGGCCGAGCAGGGGACCAGGGACAATGACATCGCCCAGCGCCACGATGCTCATCAGAAGGAAGAGTTGGCAGCACTACGCAGTCAACTGGCCAACCAGTCGCAGCTGCAACAAGCCAGAGCCGCTCATCACCAGTTTGAAAGGATATCTCTGCCCGGTTCACAGCCTGCTTCCAGAGTGAGTGCGAACGTCTTCCTCTTCACCTACATGTATCTTACTCCTACCGCCTGTGATGACCGGGCTCTCGCAATGGAATCCCGTCAGATGGATTGCTGACAAAGTTCGCCGTGCACAGGTACCAAGTGGCTCGGCCACCCCCCAGAGAAGATACCTGCACGCGGGCAGCGTCGACCATACCCCGAGAACCTCACCACCTTCCTCCGCCGTCCATTCGCCACCACTGACCCCCGCTGCCACTCAATCTCGAGATGGCGGCAACAAGCTGCAGCCGCCGACTAGTGCTTCGGCAGTGCGGCCGCCGCACGATATTATGACGCCGCAGCGGTCAGCATCGCCAGCTCGGAACGACACAGCCGGTCCCGTATCTAGTCATCCTAAGCAACAGCCTGCGCACTCCCTAGGACCGGCTGGAGATTCACAGCCTCCTTCGAAAGACGTATCTCCTACCGCTGGCACTCCTGCCAGCACAGCACCTGGAACTCCTCGACCCTTCACACCCACTTCAGATGCCAGCAAGGCGACGGGCAAGCGACAGTCGCAGCAGGTCGCGACCTCAGACCCCTATTCAAAATACAGATTCGGCGATAGAGATCCAGCACAGGGTTATGCCAATTCTGGACAAGGCCCTCCTCTACCTGGCATGCCCACCCTGCCCACATCGGGTTCAGGTACTGACATCATCAAGGCAAAAGTCCCGCAAGACGAGAAGCGTGCGAGCTTCTTTAGCGCTTCGCAAGACGAGAAGCGCTCCAGCTTCTTCGGCGGCCGGAAAGATCACAACGACAGCTCTTTGACGGTCGATGACAAGGGCCACCACCATTCCAGCTCCAAATCAAACCTCAAGCGCTTCTTCAAGGGTTTCGGCAGCGACCACAAGCACAAGAAAGAGGAGAAGGATTTATCATCACGGTCAAATGGTGGCTCATCAGGCACTAGGACACCTACGCACACCAATACTGGCGATCAGCCTAGTGTGCCATTCGCTGACGATCATGGCCTGCAGTCAAAGTATGGCAAGTTTGGAAAGATGCTTGGTTCCGGCGCCGGTGGCTCCGTGCGACTTATGAAGCGCAGCGGAGATGGCACAGTGTTCGCAGTCAAGCAGTTCCGAGATCGACACGCCTATGAGAGCGAACGGGAGTACAATAAGAAGGTCACCGCCGAGTTCTGCATTGGCTCGACGCTCCACCACGGAAATGTCATCGAAACGATCGACATCGTACATGAGAAGGGAAAGTGGTACGAGGTAATGGAGTATGCGCCATACGACCTGTTTGCGACGGTCATGGCCGGCAAGATGGGTCGTGAAGAGATCACTTGCGCGACGTTGCAGATTCTGAGTGGTGTGCTATACCTTCACAGCATGGGTCTGGCTCACCGCGATCTGAAGCTCGACAACGTCGTCATCAGTGAGCATGGCATTATGAAACTCATCGACTTTGGCAGCGCGGTTGTCTTCCGATATCCATTCGAGAGCGAGATTGTGCTAGCATCAGGTAAGTGATCGACATATCCGCCGATCGTCGAAAGTTGTACTGACATGTGATGATAACAGGCGTTGTTGGCTCAGACCCCTACTTGGCACCCGAGGTGTATGACCAGGCACGATATGATCCGCGACCGGCCGACATCTGGTCGATAGCCATCATATTCTGCTGTATGACGTTGCGCAGATTCCCGTGGAAGGCCCCTAGGATTTCCGACAACTCGTACCGCCTGTTCATCTCACCTCCAGACCCAGATCAAGACAAGCTGCTCGACTCGCATCGCCGTTCTACCGCTGCCAAGTCAACGACCGCACCACCGTCACGGAATCCTAGCGGCGACGATACGAACCCTGAGCACAAATCTCATCACCACCACCACCATCATCACCATCACAATGGTGGCAATCAATCTGCCAGTGAACCGGCAAGCAGGACAACGACCGCCTCGAATACGGATTCTCAGCCTACCATTAAGGGCCCCGTGAGACTTCTCAGGTTGCTGCCACGTGAGACGAGACACATCATTGGTAGCATGCTTGAGCTGGATCCTAACAAGCGTGCTACGATGGACGACATCTTGGCCGACCCGTGGGTCCAGAATGCTCTGGTGTGTAGACAGCAAGAGGATGGAGAGATTGTCAAAGCGCCAAACCACACGCACACGCTACAGCCTAGTAATGCTTCCTAGTGTCGATGCACATATCCATCAGATACATACGACCCAATTCTGACTGCAAGCTGCCAACGCCATCCACCTTGAAAAATGAAGCGATTTCATGACAAGGATTTTTGAGTCCCGATTCTGCGAGGAAGCAAGTAGACCTCTTTCCGCATCTCTTCGGCTGATGCTGATGCAATTGATCTGGACGACATTCGATGCCTGAATATATTCCGCAGCTCGCCGATTGATTAATCGGATTTTTTTAAGTGAGCAACCGAACATGTTCCTGAAACATCTCGCATTTGATGCAACGGTGATTTGTAAATCGGTTTGCCGACCGATTTTGCACGCAATACAAGCAAGCGATGACATGAATTCCAAACCCTAGAACCCAGTAATGAAACATTGAAATGGCTGCTGCAGCGCTTCAGTATTTGCTGCTTCCCTCTTGTTCATGTGTGTGATAAGGCTAAGCTCTATTAAGTGGAGCTGGAGCGCGATGAAAGACATGCTTACGGAACAGATTGTTTTTGGGACGAGGGTGGGGGGGGGGGGGGGGGTTCGAGCAAAGATGCGAATTTATAATAAGGGAGCCTCGATTGCTCGCTGCATCGGGTCCGCATGTGATTGTGAGCTGGCCTGGCCTGGCCTCTCTAACGTTGGTTGGCCGCCCATGCCGCAGACTTTGAAACGTGCTCTGCTGGACCCAAAAGATGTTGCGTGTGTCGGAGTTTCGACAATGTCGGACTTCTCGTGCAGACTGCAGAACGAGTGGTCGTCGACTCGTCGCTTGAGCATGGTTGCCCAGTCGGATTACTTACCACTATGTATACATAGCTACTTCATCCTTACAAGCAGGGCAGGTCAGCACTCTCCTCAGAGTCCGTAACTTAAGAGGAGAGAAAATGCGTTGTTTCTCCGTGTTGCTGTTGGAGAGCTTGACACAGAAGAACCCTGAGGATTGCTGTTGGTGGAGGATTCGCAGTTTCGTACCGGTACTGTACTGCTAGTTTCGGGGCAACTTCAGGCGAGGTGAAGCTGTACGTATAGTAAGAATCTGTGATAGACTACTACTGGAATATAAGTGACTGATAGGTAATGGACTGCATCACGAGTCGTGGTACTCTACTCATGATGCCGACCACAAGCCACCATCAGCAGTGTCCAGCAGATTGGAGACTTTCCCAGGTGACAGAATAGGGAATCCTTCCCGATCCCCCCAGACAGCCAGCGGGTGTGACGTCCAGAGCTTGTTCTGCTGTTGAACAAGAGTAGCCGCGAGAATAATATCGCATGTACCGAAGTACACAGCATGAAGAGCATGCTGGCGCACGATAGGGAGGTCTCAATGCTGTCATCGTGCTTCGCATGCCTCAGCACTGGTGTTTCAAGCTCGACTTTCAGAGCTGTTTCGCGTCGTCCTATCCCGGAGGACGTACGTATGCTCGAAGGATGCGCTTTGACGACCCGGTTGTTGTTTTTCGAGTGCCCAGCAGCAATCACGTCAAGACCCAAGGCGGTACGGTGGCGACAAACGGCATGTGAGGCGGCTGATCAGATAGCGTTGATTGTAGCAGACTTTTAGCGTCCCATTCTTTTGGGTTCCTGCGGGACTGTCTCTACTATTCCGGCTAAGAAATGGCCCGATTATTAGGCGTATGATGGGACCTACTAAACTTACGGAAATGCTCGGTTTTGGTGTGTTAGCTCGGTTTGCCTAATTAGGCTATATTGTTGTCGCAATTAGACTAGTATAGCGACTTCTAAGGTATTGTTAGTTGCTATCTACGGCTTCTTCTTCTTCGGCCTCTTAATAGTAGGTAGCATTGTCGCTACTAATCTCTTACGCTTGTTGCTATTATATTTATTAGACGTCCGCCTCTTACCTACTACTTCTCGTATCGCGTTATCGTTATCTAACTAAGGGAAGTCTTCTACTACTTCTAGGTCTTGTTTTAATAGCGAAGCCTCTCTTACTAGCGCTAGTAAAGTAAGGTCTATAAGCTTAGCTATTTCTTCGATAGTATCTAAGTCGAGCGGCTAAGCCGATTATATAGACAAAAGCGACTCGCGCGGCTACCGCGGTAGCCGCGCCTTCGAAGGTAAGGGTCTAAAGGGTAGCGGACTCGGCGTAAGAAGGTCGATTACCTATAACGGTCGATTTAGTAATAAGAGCGTCTCGTTAAGCGGTAGAAGATTAAAGGCTCGAGGTCTATATTTAGTCGCTAGCGGTAGTAGTAGTAGTAGCGGAAGGGTTAGATACCGAGGCAATTACTAGCGAGTTAGAGTAATAGGTTTAGATAGAAGTTGTTATTGTTAAGTCTACTATCGCTATCGGTTACTAGTTAATTAAACCTTAGGCGTACCTTCTCGAAGGAAGTTATCTAGTAAGAAGTTAGCTAGCTAAGTAAGCGTGTCTTTAATACGCCGTAAGAAGCTTCTTATATATTTGTCCTTTAGTATACTATTACGGATAGTCTTATCGTTACGGACCGCATAGAAGTACTATAAGAGGCCTTCTACGCCTTCGTTAAAGTAAGCGCGAAGGTCTCGAAGATAAGGGTCCCTAGTAGTATAGGATTGAGTGTCTTCGAAGCCCTCGAGAAACAAGGTAGTACTATCTCGTTACCGCTAGTATTAACTGATTTCTATGCTATTAAAGCTATAGTAGAAACTAACGTATATCTGTTGTTATTATAGAGTAAGCGGCGTTACAAACAGGTAGTGTCTTAGTATATAGTAGCATAGTAAATATTACTAGAACTAAGGAAGGCAATTGTAGTAAGGCGGCTATCTATTACGATATAATACAAGGCCTTCGTATAGCGGCAATGCCTTAGCCTTATATTCTTCCGTAATAGCGAGTTGTTTCCTAACGAAGTCCTACGCTACTAGAGGGCCTAATTGCTTAAAATATAGCATCTCTTTAACCTTCTAATATTGTATGCGTTTACTAAGTCTATAGCTTTAGAGGTCCGCCTTATATAGTTATCGAGCGTCGATTGTTAGTAACTTAGTTATAGTGCTATATATCGACAACTAGGGGAGATTCTTCTTCCGGTTGTATTTAATAGCATTATAGTATCCTTCTAGTAGCGATATAGTGCGAATTTGCATAAGTACTAGATTGTTTAAACGAGCCTATATAGCCTATTTCTATAACTTGTCCGACGACTAATTCTTTAGTAAATACTAAGTCTCTTCTTGCTTATTAAGGAGCCGCAATTCGGCTTCTATCGTAGTAATAACCTCTTTAACCTCTGCCTTACTCCGAGCCTAATAAATGGCCCTCTTAAACAGTCTCTAGACTATAGGGTACTTAAATTTAGGAAAGTATCGAAGGAAGGTCTCCTTAGCGTACCGCTAGTAGAGATATAGTCGTATTTCCTCGTCCTAGTCGAAGGACAGTCGAATAGCCGCTTGTTCTTATACCGAGTCGTTAGTTATAGCTACCTTCGGCTTCTAGCGAGGGCACTACCGCTTTAGGACTCGGAAAGCAGCTTGCTAAAGCCTCGTACGCTATGTTTATAGCAATATATATACTACTAGTATCTAACTTTCGAATTGATTGCAGATATATACTATAAAGAGATGCTAGCCTATATTAGTAGTCTTATACGTTGCGTCGTAGAGAAATAACTAATCCTAGATTAGTCGCTACTTTGCGGTTCCTATAGCCTAGTTACGTAAGCGGGGTAGTAGTAGTAGTAGTAGTGTACTTACATCTCCTACTAAAT